CATATTATTGTAAACTAAACTATAGTTTTTTAAAAAATAATAATAACTATTAAACATTTTATGAAATTTTTTTATTGTAAAAATTAATAACTAAAAATTGAAATTGGAAAAATAATAGTATAATGTACTGTATATTATATTATTGAATAAAATAATTTTTTAAAAAAATAGAAACAAATTGTTTTTAGTTATCTATTATTATTATTATTATTATTATTATAAAACTATTAATTTTTAATTATAGCATTTGTTTTATAAACTACAGTATTAGTGATTATGTTTGAAAAGTAAAATTTAAAACAATCATTAAACTTTTAATAAACAAAATCATAGTTTTAAATCATAAAACTTTTTGTAATAAATAAATAATTATAATAAATAAAATAAAAATTCAAGATATTTATGATTTTATTATTAACTGTACTGTAAGTCTATATTTTTTTAAAAATAAAAAAACTTTATTTTGATTATAATAATTTTTTAAAAATAAATAATGTATACAAAATTTTACTTAAAAAATGATATTAATATTATTTTGAATAAACTGAAATTTATACAGTATATCATAATTTTTATTATATTAATATTTTTTTAAAAAAAACTGTAAATTATTTTTTATAATTAACGTTTATTTAATAAGATTTATTAGTATTTTAAGATAGGTTTACGAGAGGTCAATTTTATATTAATGCTTTACATAAATATTATAAAATACTTTAAAAATTAATAATTAAACTAAAAAAATTAATATTTTTGAAACTAATTATTTTTAAATATATTTTTCTTATTATATAGGTTTAATTAAATTTTATAATATTAAATATAATGTATTACAATATTTTAAAAAAAAAACTTTATATTAAATAAATAAAAAATATTTAAAATATCATATATATTTTTTTTAATTAATTAATATTATATATATTTATCTATAACAAAAATTATTAATTCATGATAATAAAATATAATCACTGTATATATTAATTATTGTAATTTATTAAAATATTTAAAAATAACATTTAAAAATTTTTTGTATGTGCATGTTACATTTTATTAAATTCATGTAATTTATTAAAAACAATAATATACAGTATATATAAAACATTTAAATTTAAAAAGTAAAAACAAATCATTTAAATAGTTATAAAAAAATTTTTTTGAATAATTATTAATATAAAAATTTTGAAACTTTTGGTTTTATTTGATTATTTAATTTATTTTGATAATAATAATTACCATTATTATTATTAGTATCACTAATATTATTAACTTTATTATTATTATTATTTGTTGTAAATATATTATTTAGATTATTACCAAATATTGTTTTAATAACATTAGTTTTATTATTATTTTTATTATTATTCAAATTAATTTTATCACTTAATTTGTTGATTTGTTGACCAGTAGTTATCTGTTGTTGTTGTTGTTTAGGCATAAACACACTGTCCCTATACGAAGCACCGGTATCTAAATGTTGGACTAGATTAGCAAAATAATACATATAATCGCTTAGCGAAAAATAATGTTTAATACATAGTATGGTTAGTATGGTATCGGTTAGGGCCAGTGGTATACAATAGGGTAGTACTATAGCCGTAAACATAGCATATATGGTGAATACGGTTATGAATACGGAAAACATGATAAACAGGGAGTTATGTTGAGTGTATGTACTATATATGCCGACAATGAAAAATAGGATTGATATCAAAGTTGTGGCCAATATTACTGTTGTATAGGTTTGTTTGGTCGAGAACAGTGAGTTCGCGTCCGATCGGGCGGCCATTGCTTCGGCAATTTGGTCGCAAAGTGTACAGACTATGAACAATGCTATGGCGTTGAGTAACTGTAGTGTAATTAGTGTCCATTTTTCACATTTTAACGAAAATTTTATGGGAAATGATTTTCTAAACATTTTATTTTTTTAGTTTTTAATTTTAAAAGTTTTACTTATTATTATTTATTATTATTATTATTAATGAATTAAAAATTATTGTATTTATTATTTTTAAAACTGATTTTGTTTAAACAGATGATTAAGACAAAAATGTTTTTTGTTTTTTTTTAAAAGTTTAACTTATTATTTATTAATTTATTATTATTAAAATTATTGTATTTATTTTTATTTAACTGATTTTGTTTAAACAGATGATTAAAAAAAATTATTTTTAAATAACTGTAAATTAATATAATTTTAATCAAAACATTTATCATTTATCATTAGATAATTATAATTATAGTTAATATAAAAATTAAACTTTAAAATTATTAATTTTAAATTAAACCACAAAATAAATAAAAACTAACTGTTTATTTCACACAATAATGTTTAAGATTAACTAATAGTTTATATACATATATAATATATAATAGTTTAGTACAACTGAAACTTGTATCAACAAAAAAAAACATTAATATTATTATTGATTTATTTATAACATTATTATACAGTACTTAATATTAATAATATATTTTTTTTTATAAATATCCAATAAAAATAATAATAATAATGTATATGTAGTTTCAATGTTAGCTTTATTTTGATTACAAAAATATTACAAATAGATTGTTTAGAAAATAAAAATATATAGAAAATAAAAATAATTTATTATATTTCTCTCTCTTTCTCTCTCTCTCTCTCTCTCTCTCTCTCTCTCTCTCTCTAAGATTGTATAGAAATATATATAGCAATAACACAATTTTATACAGTTTATTGCATACATGGGGTTTATTGATTTATTTATTAAATATATTATTATTATTATTTTGTCAATTTCAATGTCAATTTATTATCATATATTACAAAACTTTGAATATTAAATTTTTATATATATATATATATATATTTATTTATTAACAATAAGTTTTTATTTATTTTATTATTGCAATCAATATAACGCAATTAAACTAAAATTAAATTCAAAAATATACTTTCAATTTATTAAATCACTTTATTATATAATTATTTACACTTTATTTGTGTTGTATTGAAAAAAAACATATTATTTGTTAGTTCATTGTATATTAATATAATAATAATAACAAATATAAATAATTTTATTAGTTTAAACATAACCTAAACATTATTAATAACTTTTTTTTGTTGTATATTATTTATTTAAATTTAATGTTTATAAAATTATTTATTTATTATATTTAATTTTTATTCAAATATATTTTCTAAAATTATAGTAAGATTTATTTGTTTTTTTTAATTAATTAAATCAATAAAAAAAAATTAAATAAGTTTAATAATAAATATATTTTATTTTTAATTTAATTTTTTAAATTATAGATTTTTTTTATAACTTTTAAAACTATAACTTTTCTTTTAATTATAAAAATTGTTTTGAATTAAAGCTAAAATTTATTTATTTATATGTGATCTATATGTTTATAAAATAATATATATATATTCATATATATCTATAAAATAAAAGTTAATATATATTACAATATAAAGTAAGTAATAATTGATTTATTGATTTTTTTTATGTAATTTCAATGTCAAGTTAATATTTAGAGTTAAAAAACAATTTGTATTTTAATACTAAATTATTGGTAAACTAATAATAATAAAAAATTTATTTCTCAATATATTAGTTTTTATAAATAAAAATAAATTATAATTTATATTGTATTTATTGTAATAATATATAATATAAATACTTATTATATTAATTTAACTTTTTTGTTGTATAAATATTTATAATTTTATCCTAATTTTTTGTTGTTGAATACTAGATAATAAAAACTGTAATTTTTTCAATTTGTTTCATTTTAAATGCAAATTTTAATATAATTTTTTTTTAAACATTAGATATAGTTTTTATTATGAAATTGTAATTATTATTATTTTTTTAAATTATATAATTCATACTAAATTAATAATTAATAATTTTTTTTTATTTCATGAAATATTTTTAATACAATATTAGTTAATTATATTAAATACCTATAGTTTTAATTATAAAACATTAAATACAGTAGTAGTAGTTATTCATAGATATTTAAAAATTCAAAATTAAAAAAAAATATATAAATATTTTAGTACTATTTGCAACTAATATAGAACTATACAAATTAAATTGTTTTTAGCTTATATAAAAAAGGCACAAAACTACTAAAACATACATGTGTTAAAAAAAATCTGTAAATTTTTAGCAACTATTACATCATTAAACAGTTTACTATTGATATATATATATATATATATATATATATAAAGTACGTATATATTAACTAAACACTAGTTATATTATATTAACATTAATAATAATATACTGTATATAAACAAAACGTATTTTATTAATACACTATATATATATATATTTTTATATATTATTAATAGTAAACATTACACGTAAGTCAAACTGTAATTTATTATTATATTATACAGTAGTATTAATAATCAACAAAACGATAAAAATATTTGATATTAATTATAATAATATTATTTTTTGTTATTTTGTCATTAGATAGTAGGGTATGTGTTATCAAAAAAAAAATAAAATAAATATATTTTTTTTAAACAGTATTATTATATATTGTTAATGAACTTTTGGACTTTAAATTTTGTATATATATATACTGTATATATATCTTACCATTAAATATCTATAAAAATGATATCATAATAATAATAATTATTTTTATAGATACACAAAAAAATTAATTAATTAATATATGATTATAACATAGAGTATATAAAAATTTTATTTATTTTTTTTTTGAAAAAAAAGTTTCATATCATAGGTTAATATACAGTATTAGTCATACATTTATAATACAAATAATAATACAGTAATTATTATAACATATGGTGTGTTTGTATTAATAATAATTGTAATAATATTATAGTCAACCAAACAAACAAAACTGTATATAAAACAACATAACATTATATTTAGTTATTATTTGTTTAGTTATTAATAATAATAATAACTTATTATTTAATTAAAAAAAAAACCAAATAATATTACAATACATTAATTGCTATATTAATTGTGTGATTATAATACAGTAATCACATTATAATTGTAACAATCAATCAATCAATCAATCGATTTATTTTGTGATTACAATAACAGCAACAATACTAATAACAAACACAACAACAACAAAGTCACGTGACTTTACCGCTATTGGCCGGACAAATGTGTGGCCACCCGACGACAAACAACAAACCAAACCGATAATAATCACACAATAATAATGACCTCATTGTCCGCCACCACTACCGCTACCACCGCCGCGACCACAACATCATTGACGGCCAACACTAGTAGTAGTATATCAACGCCCGCACAGTCATCGCTATTGTTATCGACGGCCAACCTATCGTGGACTCCGAGCTCGAGCGGTACGGGTGTGTTGGCCGCACCGCAGCCGCCAATCGAGCGGCCAGTAGTAGTTGCCTCATCGTCATCGCAGATGTCGTCGCCGACGCAATCGGATCACTCGAGCTTTCATCATATGACACACGAAGAAATTATTGCATCCCTCAGACAGGAAGTGGTCACTACTACTACTACTACTATCGATAGCACCGGTAGTCCAATACTGGACGCCAGTTTTCAGACCATATCGTTGGCCGACACCAATACGGGAGTAGTAGGAGGAAGAGGAGGACAGCAATCACTACTAAGTGGTGTCGATGATGACGATGACGGCGGCGGTGGTGACAGCGATGATGACGGCCAACAGTCGACCACCAGTTCCCTATCGTCTGCCTATGCCTACAATCAACGCCAGACACAGAAGTTATCGTTTATTGAGTCGCTGTTTCAGCGGACACAATCGCTGGCCGCACCCGTACTGACAGCAGCAACGGGACGGTCGGCCGCCACCACCAATACCACCACTGGTGCTGATGTTAACAGAGGCGGCGGCTCTGGTATATCAACGCCCGGCAGTCCGCCACAACTGTACTCATCTCCAGATTCACAGCCATTAGCGCCGCCGCCGACAACAGCGTCGCCAACCGATACAAACATATCATCATCGCCTGTACCGACAGTACCTTCTCTACCGCTGCCGCCTCCGCCGCCTCCCATAGCACCTCCAGTTGATAGTATGCCGTCGACAATGGACACACCTAAACGCGATTTCAAGCTTAAAGGTAATGAATGATAACTTAATTTTTAAAAAAAAACTACCTGTCCTTTAAGTTTGATTTTTCTAACACATATTTACCACTACCGGTATATTTTTTTTTTTTTTTGAAGGTCCGCTACGGCTATACGATCCAAAACATGGCTCATCCAGCTTTTCCAGGCCTCCTCCTCCTACTACTACTACTGGTGTTGTATCTCTATCACAACAACAACAACAACATGAATCAACTGTACCATTGATGGCACCGATAGATCCATTGTCGTCATCGTCATCATCGATGATACCACCGTTTGTGCCGCCACTTCCCACCAGTGGTGTTGGTGGCGTCAGTCTATACAATCCACTTGATTACTATAACACTGATAGTTGTGGTGCACCCGAAACTCTGGACCCAACAACAACTACCACCAGTGCATACACTAGTGGTACTGAACCGCCATTTGACTTAACCCAACCTAACTATTCATCCATGACTATAGCACCCATAGTAGGTGACTGCGGCTCCTCCAACACCACTGACTATATATCATTTGTTAGTCAAACGCAACAACAACAACAACACCAACAACAATCAGTAGCCTCGGCTACCGCTCAAATGTATGACCAACAATACGGCGATTGGTCACAACAACAACAACAACAACCACCATCATCACTGGCAACGGCTGCGTCTGCGGCACCGGTAGTAACCTACGAACCGATAGTCCATCACTGGTTCTATCAGTTGCCGATTGTCGGCGGCGGCGGCGAACATCATCATCAACACAATCAACAACAACAACAACAGGTGTGGCAACCGTTTTCGCTGTACGATTCCTATAACTTGGAACAGGCATTGATCGGATCGCCGAACTACGGCTACGGTATGGTCATTGCTACCGACGGCGGCCGATACGATGTCAATGTCTACGACCGATGCCGACGGCCCGTCTACTGGCAAGACTCGGATACTGTTTGTCGCCGGTGTTCGTGGTTTTACAAACTCGAAGGCCATAACCGATGGGCACCCTATGATGAGGACGTATCGGTTAAATTGGAGGCCACCTACAGGCAGGCCGTATTGGCCAACCAATGGAATGCTAGGGTAGAGCTGGAATCTGGCCAGGAAGTAGTGGTCATGCACGGCCAACAATGTATTTATCATTATCAAGTGGATAGTGCAATGCCCGACGGCTGGGGACAGGCTATCGAAAACCCTCATCGACCCCGTCAAGTACATCGGGGACCGTTAGACGGTGGCCTAGGTTTCGATATCGATGAAGGCGAACCCGAACAAATCGATCATCTAGTGTTTTTGATTCACGGTATCGGCGAGATATGCGATTTTAGGTATGTCCCCACCCACCCCCTGAAACATTAGGTGTGTGTGTGAGTGTGCTTTTATCTGTAGGAAAGGGATCTCTCTGTCTTTCTCTGTCTCTCTCTGTCTTTCTCTGTCTCTCTCTGTCTTTCTCTGTCTCTCTCTGTCTTTCTCTGTCTCTCTCTGTCTTTCTCTGTCTCTCTCTGTCTCTCTCTGTCTCTCTCTCTGTCTCTCTCTCTCTGTCTCTCTCTCTCTGTCTCTCTCTCTGTCTCTCTCTCTCTGTCTCTCTCTTTATCTCTCTGTCTCTCTCTCTGTCTCTCTCTTTCTTTCTCTCTTTCTTTCTCTCTTTCTTTCTCTTTTCCTCTCTCTCTCTCTCTCTCTCTCTATTAATCAGTCACTAACTAACTCGGAATCATGATTTTTTTTTTAGGGTATCTCCTCCTCCTCATAGAGTATCCAAGGAAAGGGATCTCTATTTTTTTGTATGTGACTGAGTTAGTTAGTGAGTGATTTAGTAGAGAGAGAGAGAGAGATTGTTATGACTTTCAATCAGAATTGAAATAATAAATTTTATTTTTTCGGTATATATTCATAGGTTTCGGTCGATTGTCGAAGTGGTCGACGATTTTCGGGCAATCAGTATACAACAGATGCGCCAACACTATCGATCGTATATGGAAAGAGGACAGTTGGGTCGTATTGAAATGTTACCGATATCGTGGCATCAGTCGTTGCACGGCCAGGAAACCGGTATCGACGATCGGCTGAAATTGATTACATTGGACAGTATACCTAAGCTCCGGCACTTTAGCAACGATACTATTCTGGACGCACTGTTCTATACGAGTCCTGTCTATTGTCAGACAATTGTCTCGAGTGTTGGACACGAATTGAATCGTTTGTTTCAATTGTTTTGCCAAAGGTTTGTCAATAAATAAACAGAAAAATTATTTATTTGTTATTTAAATAATATTATATTTTATTATTTATTAATTATTATATAATTTTAATTAGTTTTTTCAATTAGTAGTTTACTGTGTGTTATTTTTGTTTTTTAATTATTTGTAATTATTATTATTATTTAATATATTAACTGAAATTTAATTAATTATTTTATTAGTAGTTTAGTTGTTATTATTAATTAATTAATTAATTATCAATTATTTTATATTACCGTATATTAATGATATTAATTATTTTATTTATTTATTTTTAATTTTTCAATAGAAATCCCAACTTTTATGGCACAGTAGCACTGGGTGGTCATAGTCTCGGTTCACTTATTGTATTCGACATACTGGCCCATCAGCACCTGGATCAACATCATCATCATCATCATCAGCAACAGCAGCAGCCATCACAAACACCAACAACAACAACAACATCAGATACTACCGGAGCGCCTGTAGATATCAATAGCACAACAACGACTAACGATATAGTAGTGGCGGACAGGGATGTCAGCAGTCCAATAGTTAGCTATCAGTTTGAACCACTCGGACTCGGGTTTCCGGCCATCAACTATCCGCAACTGCCGTTCAGGCCGTCGGCATTTTTCGCTATGGGTTCACCGTTGCCAATGTTTTTGACTGTACGCGGTGTCCAATACCTTGCGCCCGACTACCGATTGCCTACCTGTCCAGCTGTTTACAACATATTTCATCCGTACGATCCTATCGCCTATCGACTGGAACCGATGATCTATCCATCATTCAAACAAATCAAACCCGTTCTCATACCCCATCATAAAGGCCGTAAACGTATGCATCTGGAGCTCAGGGATAGCCTGGCCAGGGTTGGCACCGACATAAAAAACAAGATTTTCCATTCAATTAAATATACATTGAATTCTATACACGAATTTGCCTCCCGATCGGCCAATCGGCCTTCAGCCGTTGTTAGCCAATCGTCGTCGTCGACTACTACTACTAATACTACCGGTGCCGGTGTTGGCGGCTCAGGTAGTCATGACTATGGAGACAACAATGATGGTGTAGATGCCGATAGTGTCTACAATCCGTTAGTCAATAACAATACCACCGCTGCTGCTGCTGCTGAAGTGTTGGACGGTATGCCCGACGATGATGACGACCAACAACACGGTGTTGGCCTAAGTCCCGGTGCACTGAACAGCGGCCGCCGAATCGATTACGTACTCCAGGAGTCACCCGTCGAAGCCTTCAACGAATATTTGTTTGCAATGGCCGCACACGCCTGCTATTGGCAATCGGAAGATACGGCACTATTGATGCTCAGGGAACTGTACGGCCAATTGGGCTACTATTCCGATACAACTACTACTGCTAGTACTACCGGTGCCGCCGCCGACGCCATGCGACCAACAATACCAGTGCAATCAGTCTCTACACCATTAGCTACCAGTGCATCGATAACTAGTGATAGTTTGTCATCGCCGCCGCCGCCGCCGCCGACTGGACAGACATCCAGTTCCGTACAGTTGTTTACCGATAATACAGAAACAAGTGTACAGTTTATAAGTCATTGATAGTTATAGTTATTATTATTATTATTATTATAATTACCGATAATTAATTAGTTTTGAAATCATTTATTATTATTTTTATTATTAATTTTGTTTTTTAAATAATTATTTTTTTTTAATAATAAATGATGGGATCAAATGATAAGTTACCAGTAGTTTAATAATAACTACCAGTTCTACCATTTTATTGTTGTTGTTGTTAACCTACCTGTTCTCTCAATTTTTTTTTAAAAATAATTAAATTAAAAATTTTATTAATTACATAACAATTGTTATATTTTTTTTTGTTGTAGACTTTAATTTGTAAATCAATTAAGCGTTAAACTAAAATTTTAAACCAATTGTTTGTTTGTTTTTATTTTAATTATAACTACATTTTGTGAATTTTAATGATATTATTATTATTATTATTATTATTATAAATAATTTAATTAATTAATTAATTGATTATTAGTTTTATATGATGAACAAGTCTATTTTATATATATGAAATTGTTAAATATATATATACTGTATATTGAATATAATATTTATAATAATAAAAATTAAATTGTAATAAATTTTTTTTAAAAAAAATAAATAAAACTGTAAATTTAAAATACTTTTATATTTTATTTATAGATTTATATTTAGATATAATTGAAGAGAGAGAGAAAGTAATAGAGAGTTATACTAAAAATATATAAATATTTTTTTTTAATTTTTAAATAAATAACATTATTTTTTCAAAAAAAATCTAGTTTATTAAAATTTTTTTATTTTCAATTATGTTAAATTTTAATATTAATTTTAATTAAGGTACTTAAAAATAATACATGTATTATTTTTTATTTTTATAAATATATAAAATTTTGTTTGTTAAATATTTTTTGTAAACTTAAATAATTTAACTAAAATTCAATGTTAATGATAATCACATTTTGATTCAATATTTTTTTATTAATCATTTTATTTTTTTATTGTTTTGAATTATTATTATTATTATCAACATCATCATTATTGATAATAATTTACATATAAAATAAATAACATAAATTAAATAGCATTTTATACAATAATAACAAAATATTATTTTACATATAAATAATAAATTAAATGTAAATAATTTCTTATAAAGTTTTTTTTTAAAAATAATTTTAATATAAAATATATAATAAATTTATACATAATTTTTTCTCAAAATAAAAATAAATTACAAATTAAAAAAAAATAATTTGATAAATAACTACACTAGTATAATTAAATTAGTTATCTATATATTTAATTTATTTATATATATACACTATACTACAATATTTATTTAATAAAAAAATTTTTTTATTTATTAGCTAGCCAATTTTATTAGTACTTATTTTATCTAAATCATTTTGAACATTATTACTATTGCTATTTATGCTAACAATTTCAATAACCACATTAACATCACTAACATTATCATTATTAGTCCTATTATTATTATTATTATTACTTTTAGTCAATTTATTATTATTATTTTTGTTTTTGTTTCTATCTTTATAAATAACATTGTACAACATTATTAACAGGATCTAGGTTATTTATTTATTTTTTATAGACACAAAACAAAAATTAATTAATTAATTAGTTAAAATTATTAATAATTTAAAAAATATATATATAGTTATTTAATTTACCAAGACAAGTTGCATGCCAAAATATAGAAATGATGAATCACCATAGCTAAATTCATCAAATAGATAGCCACCAAAAATTGATCCAGCTGCATCACTAAAAATTTTTTTTCAAAAAAAATATTTTAAAAATTTATATATTTATTAAATAATTATAATTGTTTTTGTTGTTATAAAATAAATACCCAAAAGCTTCAAATGTTGTCAATATTGTTGATAATAATGCCGTTATAGCAGGTGTTTGAGGATAACCACAGTTACTATATTTATAATAATAATAATATTTATTTTAAATATTTAATTAAATAAAAAATAATTATTTTTAATTTAATTATAATTTAGTAACTCACATTAGCTCTTTAGTACCATGGGTAAATGTGCCCACTAGTAGGGCACTGATACCCAAACCCAATAATACCTGTGCTATTATTACCAAATATAGTTGACTATATAATAATAATAATATTAATTATGAAATTTTTTTTTTAAATAACAATAATTAATAATAATTACGGCTTAATGTCAATTATAGGTATGGGACCAATAATGGTCAGTCCGATCAATAAAACAATACAACCGGCCATACTGATGAACAGTTTGTTTTTGACTAGACTATGGGCTAACCATTCCCATAGATAATTGCTAGAAATTAATGCAATACCGGCGCTCAAAAATATCAGGCCAACCATCCATGCCTTTAGTTTAGCTATCTATATGGGTGTGTTTAATAAATAAATATATATTTTTTTTTATAAAAAATTAGCAAGTTAAATTATCATTGATTGATGGTGGACATACAGCATGTAGATGTAGTTCCAGTGTTGTAGTATTAAAGCCAATGATGGCACCGGCATTAATAGTGATCAATATGTTGACCCAAATGCCCAAATTTTTTAGCAAATGTCCAAATGATATGTCATTAGATTTTTTATACATTGCTTTTTTAAATTAAATTAAATTAAAACAAAACATAAAAAAATAAGTTATTATTATTATTTGTTAAATTAGTTTTAAAAAATGTTAATTTATTAATAAATTCAATACTAAAAAATTATATTATTATTATTATTAGATTTGTTAAATTAGTAAAAAATGTTAACTAAAATTCAATGCTAAAAAATTATATTATTATTATTATTAGATTTGTTAAATTAGTTTTTTAAAAAAAATGTTTTAATTTAAATTCAATACTACAAAAAATTATATTATTATAATTAGATTTGTTAAATTAGTTTTTTTAAAAAATGTTTTAATTTAAATTCAATACTTAAAAATTATATTATTTTTATTATTATTAGATTTGTTAAATTAGTAAAAAATGATAACTAAAATTCAATACTAAAAAATTATATTTTTATTATTATTAGATTTGTTAAATTAGTTTTTTAAAAATGTTAATTAAAATTCAATACTAAAAAATTATATTATTATTATTATTAAATAAATAAATACAGTTAAATCACTTACTATCACATTTAATGGCAAAATGTGTGGCTATGGCCAGCATTAGTGCACAAAAACCAAACACAAAAAATGGTACACAAAATCCAAAATTAGCAAACTGTCCTAGCTAATAAAAAAATATTTTTTTTTAGTTAAAATACTAATAAATTAATAAATTTTTAAAAATAATTTATTTAGTATTATTATTATTATAATTATTGATTAAAAAAAATACCTGATATAAAAATCCGGACAATGGTGGCCCAATAATTAGACCGGTCGAAAAATAGACCTCCATTTTAGACTGGGGGGTTAAACCAATAATAATTTTTAAAAAATAATTAACAATTTGATTATTAATATTTTATTAAAATAAAATTATATATAATACTTTTATTTATTTATTTTCAAAAAAATAAATAAATATTACATACATATATGCTGGCTGAATTATCTGTAAACTCTATGGATATTATGGCATAGCATGTTGTAAAATAGGTACCGGTTTGTATGCCAACAATTAGCTGTATGATTATGGCCAGTATTATAAACAAGGTACCCGATGAACACCATTGTAATGAACTAATTTAATTTTAATTAATTAATTAAATTTTTTTAATATAAAATAAAATAATTAAAATTAATTTTTATTATTTGATAATAATAATAATATTAATACCCAAATGCAGTAACTGATAGACTAAATATCACAATAGAAATCTCTAATAAATGTTTTGGTTTAATAAATCTCAGCTAAAAATATATAAAAAAAATTTAAAAAAAAACATTTAATTAACATAATGTTCCCAAACAATAATAATTATTATTATTATATTTTTTTAAAAAATAAATATTTTTTATCTACCAATATATTTGCCAGTAATGATCCAATGATAAAACCAACATTGATGCTGGCATTTATGATACCGACCCATGTAGCGGAAACACCTCTATGTTTTGCCTAGATGATTTATTTATTTATTAATTTTTTTGTGATGAAAAAAAAATCAAAAATCAAAAATAATGATGATGATGATGATGATTCATTAATTATTTTTTTAGTTATTTATCTATAATATCTAGATGTATGTGTATGTGTATGTGTATGTGTATGTGTATGTGTATGTGTATGTGTATGTGTATGTGTATGTGTATGTGTATGTGTATGTGTATGTGTATGTGTATGTGTATGTGTATGTGTATGTGTATGTGTATGTGTATGTGTATGTGTATGTGTATGTGTATGTGTATGTGTATGTGTATGTGTATGTGTATGTGTATGTGTATGTGAGTGTATGTATGTGTATGTATGTATGCAATAATCAAATTGTTTCACATGAATGTTTTAATTATATATATATATATTTATATACTGTATATTTCTAATAAAAAATTATTTTTTATGAAAAAAATTCAATGAACTCTAAAATAAGCTATTAATAAGTTATACACTATATATATATATATATATTTATTTAAATAAAATATATAATAAGTATTTTTCTGTTAGTGTTTTTTTTTTGTTGTTGTTGTTTTGTTAATGTAAAAGTTGGATGACTTTTTGTAAATATAATATAAATAAATTATAATAAATTATTTTTTTAATTAGTTATATATATACAGGTATATATATATATATATATAGTTTAGTCACTATATAAATACTGTATTGTGCAATACAGTATATAATGTATGCTAGAGTACAGTACAGTAATTAAATTGCATTGATTTATGATATATATATATACTACTACTAATAAGTAAAAAAACATTTCCGATTTAATAAACATTATTAATAAGTTTTATCTAAATTATTACAATATTATTACAATATTATTACAATATTATTACAATACTAATCAATAAAATAATTAATTAATAATTAATTTTGTTGCGTAAATTTTCTTATAAATATTTATATACATGTATAATATATATATATATATAATGATATAATGATATAATGATATAATGATATAATGATATAATGATATAATGATATAATGATATAATGATATAATGATATAATGATATAATGATATAATGATATAATAATGATATAATATAATATATAATGTAGATTATGACTATACTATACTATATATATATAATATAAAAATTGCAATTATATATGTATAAGTTTTTTAATGAATATTTTTATTCAAAAAAAAATTAAATAAAATAAAATAATTTTATACAAAAAAATATATTCTAAAAAATCACTAAAATTTAATATAAATATTATTGTGTTTTTTATACAAAAAAAATTACACTAAATAATAGTTTATTATATATATATATATATGATTTACCTCTGATGGAAAAAACGGACCGTCCAATGATGAGGCAGTGCTCGTCAATATACTACCGATGCTTAACAACACTAATAATAGATAATTTTTAGGTTTAATTAATTGAATTAATTGAATTTTTTCTAACAATTTTATATTATCTACTAAATTATCAGTTATATTATTATTATTATTATTATAGTTATGGTAATCATAACTATCGCTATTAGTATTATAATTATTATTATAATTATTATTATTATTAACATTATAATCAGTTTTACACATTTTTATTATTATCGGTACTCTAGTATAGATAACTATTAGTTAGATTATTATTATTGAAATAAAAATTATTATTATTATTATCATATTTTTATTGTAAAACAAATGTTTTTTATCAAACAAAATCAAATTGATGATTATTATTATTATTATGTCTGTAAATGTTGACATTTAGCAATATATTAATAATTTAATAAAACAAAAATAATAATTAAAACATGTGTGTTTAAATTTATCTATAAAAACTAACTTATAATTAAATATTTTAAAAAAAAATAAATAAAATTATTATAATAACATATACAGTGATTGAAAATTAAAAAAAAAATAAAATTAAACACATTTACCGTAACTTAATTTTTTACTCATATTTATGTATTTATTTATTTAATTTAAAATAAATGACAAATATATATAATATTTGACAAAACTTTAAGTTTAAAAATATTAAAAAACACTTGCTAATAAAAAATAAATTTTTTTTGCTGCTTAAATTTGTTAATAATAATATCAATACTAAAATAACACATAAATAATAAAAAATTAATAATATAATATTTATTTGAAAATTTTCAAAAATAAAAAGTAAGTTACAATGTGTTTGCCACTTTTTTTAAAAAAAAATAAATAATATTTTAGCTCAAAACTAACTAACTAAGTCTAATAATTAAAAAAAATTATTTGAATTATAAATATAAAATAAATTAAATCTAAAATGATAATATAATATCAGGTACTAAATATATTAAAATATAAATAAGAATCAAATAAGTTATAATTTTTCACATAATTAATTAATTATTTATTTATTTTTTTATAAAAATAATATTACATTTAAATAAAAATGTATTTATTATAAACAAATAAACTTATAAAATAATGTTATAATAATTATTATAATTTCTAGTAGTTTGTTAAACAGTAAAAAATTAATAAATAAAATTAATAATAAATTAAAATATACAATATATATAAGATATAATTATAACAAGTAAATTTAAGTAAACTTATTATAATAGAAATATTAATTATGTAAATATAATAATAACAGGTATTAATTAAATTGCAACCTGCTGCTAAATAAAAAATTATTTATAATTTATTTAATTATTTATATTTTGCTTACATACAATATTGTATATCGATGCCAAACATTATATGATTTTTTAATTTAAATAATAATAAATAATATCACATATAAATAATTATATTAGAAAAAAAATTAATCAAAAAAAAAAATAATAATTATATATTTATTTATATGGAAAATAAATTCAATAATATATTGTATACTATAGTATAATGTTATTGTTAAGTAGAAAATTGTACTAAAAAAAATTAGTAAAAAAAACAAAAAAAAACTTTTATCAATATATTTATATTCAATATTACATGCATAGTAATAATTAATTAAAAGATAAAATTCATGGAAAATTTTTGCTTGTTTGTTGTTTTAGTTATTTATGATGACAAGGTGACTTTTATAATAAAAAAATTATATTAAAAAATATACTGTTAATGTTAAGTCTATCTTTTATTTAAAAAAAAATTAAAATATGTATGTTTTTTTGTGTGCAAACTAAAAAAATGTTTAACTATATTTTTTCAAAAAAAAAAACTTTATTTCATAACTTTAATTAATGTGATTCTTATTTTTAAAAAAAAATTCAGTTAATTATTTAATTATAATTTTTGGTAGTTTTTGTAAAATTTTGTATAATTTATAATTTATTTACATATTTTTATTTAGTTTAATATAATTAAAAAATGAATTAATTTTTTTGTTAAATTTTAATATTGAAAGTAATATATTAATTAATAAATAATATTTATAGTTAAAATAAATTAATTTCAATAATCTAATGTAGCTTGAAAAATTAATTGTAAAATTTTTTAAAGTAAATATTAAATTATTTAAAATATTTTAGTAAACAATATATATACAGTAGATTATAATAATATTATATGATTTGATAAAAAATAATAGTTAGGCGCCAATTACACATGATAAACTTATCAAGGCAACTATTTGTATAAAGGGGCGATTCACATATTACGTTTACACTTTTTCAAAGAAATTTAGACCCCCTGTCTCCGTCCCCTATGTTCGCATGTAGTCATTAAAAAAATAAATTACGTTTGCATGGCCCTAACCTCTAAACCCCCTCCCTCCCCACCACAAAAAAATATTATCTAAATGCAAACGTTCTTAAAGTCTCTACCCCTCCCCTCCACTTCCCCCCTCGTTTGCAAAAGTTCGATTTGGCTAACCCCCCATCCTATTAAATGATGCAGTAGTAATATGTGACCACCCACCTAATAATGATAATTTTTTTAATATTTTGAAATAATTAATTAATTAAACAAACAAAAACAATCAAACAGCATTTATGTAAAAATTTAAATATATTATTATACTGTTTTATTATTTACATATATAACAGTATATATAATACTGTATATTATATATAATTGTGTTGAATGTGCTAATCATTATTACGTACGTAAACACACACACGTTTTATATAATAAAAATTTAAAAAAATAAATATTAAATTGCTATTATATATATGATAGTTAAATATATAAAAAATAAAATTATAATATCAATACTACATACATATACATATACATATACTACAGTACTATATACAATACATTTTTACATACAAAACATATTATATGTATATACAGTATATTTTTGTAGACAGTGTATTGCTGTATGTATATTACTGTAAACTAATTGAACATAAAATTATTATTTATTAGTATTTTTTTCAAATAAATTAGTTAATAATAATAAAAATTTATTATTGTTTCTAGGCTTAGCATTAGATGATTGTGTGAAAAAAAAATTAGCTGAATTAAATTAGAGTAATAATAATAATAATAAATTATTATTATTGTGCAACTAAATAATTTTTTGATAAATTAAAATATCCAATAAGAAATTTTTTTTCAAAGATATAATTAAAACAAAAATAATAAAAATAGTAGAAAAAATAATAATTAAATTACTTTATATATATTTAAATAATAAATATTATTTTTAAAAAATTAATAATGTTTAATTAATTGTTTTTATTTTAAATAATATTTTAAAATTAAGTAAACATTTTTATTAGATTGGTATACTATATTATACTACTTTATTATATTATAAATCATAAAAATGATAATTATGATATAATAAAAATGCATCATCTATTTTTTTTATAAAAATTTAAATAATAATTTAAAAATATTTTTCAATTAATTAGATTTCATATGTATTTTTATATATAATTTTTATACTTTATCTTAAAAAAAAAGATTTAAATATTATTATAACTGTATTATTATATATATAATATTAAAAATTATTTTAATAAAAAAAACATTTAGTTTACAGTATATTTTGCAAATAGTATGCAAAACAATATGAAATCAATAAATTGTCTAAAAATAATATTTTCAATTTGTAATTGTAAATAAAAATAATAATATTAAATTGACTATAATATTGTGGTCTAAATTTTTTTTCTATGCATACAATTAATGTCAATATTATTTACTGTTCAAAATACTTTGAGGACAGGTAGGTCTAGTTGGTTGGTTAGGTTGGTTGGTTGGGTTGGTATCTGAGCAACTGGTAATAGTTATATACATTTTATATACTGTATATATGTGTAATAATTTCTTAGAAAAAATTATTATTTATTATTATTATTATTACTATTACTATACACAGTGACACATAGTTTTGCAAATAATAACATTATTATTATTATTATGTTATTATTATTATTATTATTATTTTAGTTAAACAAAAATATAAAATGTTTATCTTTTATCTCTAAAATAGTTTCCGTTTTACAATACGTATTGTTAAATAGTAATAATAATAATAATTATTATTATTAGATATTATTATATTAATAGTATAACACATAAAGTAATTTAACAACAGTTTAGTTGTAATTATTATTTAACTATTAATGCTAAATAACATTATTACAACAAAAAAATAATAATTATTGAAAAATATATATATAAAACATTTAGTGTTTTTTGGTATTTAATATACATTTTTTTATAATTTAATAGATTATTACAGTAATTAATTAATTAATATTACTAATTAATATCAAATATATAATTAATTTTTAAATAAAAAAAATTGTGATTATCACTAATATATATCATATACATTAAAAAAAAAGTTTATTTAATTTTATATTTATTAAAAAAATAATGACTAAAACAATTGCCAAATGTGTTCATATATTACCACTACTACTACTACTACTAGTAGTAGTTATTTTTGTGGTCATCATAACTACCGGTGCTAACTGTGCTATAGTTGACCGACACAATCATCAGCAACAACCTAACCGGCCGGAAAATTATGATATTAGTCGTCCACAAAATTTACGTAAACTATTGCAAGTCTACAACAACAATGGCCGCCAACAAACTAAAGTACAATACTATAATAACTGTCCGATTAGGGAACGGGAGAAGATGTCTCAGTGCGATAGCTATGCGGCCGATGACTGGGATGTACGTGAAGTACAACAGGTTTGCGATAATTTAATTATTTTTTTTAATTAAAGTATTTTTTTATATATATTAAAATACACTATTATATTAAGTTTTTTTTTTAAAAAATAAATTAAAATAATTTAATTACTAAATATATTGTTAATTTTATATACAGTAAAATCTAGTGAAAACAAATTTAATAACTTATTATTAATAATATTATTAATAAAAAAAAAATATTAAACAGCTTTTATTAAATTATAAACTTAAATTATATATATATATATATTAAAGTTAATATTAAATGTTTTAAGATGTTTTTTAATTAATTAAATTAAATTTATAAATAATAAATTCTAAAAAAAAAAAATAATACTAAAATCAAATATTACATTATATCTGATTGTTTGCATACTTTAATAATAAAACTGTATACTAAACATAATAATTAATATTTATTAATTAAAAAAATATCACTAAATTATAATTTAGATAGAAATAACAGTGAGAATTATTTATTTTATTTAATTAAATTATTAGACAATTAAACATTAGTATTATATATATATAAATTTTTTAAAATAAATTTATAATAATTTTGTTATTATTATTGTTATTGTTGTAGTAGTAAAATATATATTAAGAAAAACAAATTAATTAATTATTTATTTTATTTAATTAAATTATTATTATACAATTAAACAATATTATTATTATATATATAAATTACAAAAAAATAATATTTAATTTATAATAATTTTGTTATTATTATTATTGATGTTGTAGTAGTAAAATATATATTAAGAAAAACAAATTAATTAATTATTTATTTTATTTAATTAAATTATTATTATACAATTAAACAATATTATTATTATATATATAAATTACAAAAAAATAATATTTAATTTATAATAATTTTGTTATTATTATTATTGATGTTGTAGTAGTAAAATATATATTAAGAAAAACAAATTAATTAATTATTTATTTTATTTTATTAAATTATTATTATACAATTAAACAATATTATTATTATATATATAAATTACAAAAAAATAATATTTAATTTATAATAATTTTGTTATTATTATTATTGATGTTGTAGTAGTAAAATATATATTAAGAAAAAAAATTAATTAATTAATTATTTATTTATTTTATTTAATTAAATTATTATTGCAATTAAACAACAATATTATTATTATTATTATTATTATTATTATTATATATATATATATATATATATATCTAAATTTAAAACAAAAATTAATATTTAATTTTAATTTATAATAATTTTGTTAGTATTATTGTTATTGTTGTAGTAGTAAAATATATATATATTAAGAAAATTAATTAATTAATTATTTATTTATTACAATTGATTTAAAAAAAATCAATTAATAGGACTATTCATCCCGGAGCTACTGTTGCTATCATTGGCAATCGTTGAAATGTAAACTAAAAATAGCCAAACGTTGCGATATTAACTATGCTAATTGGCTTGAGCAGGATACTGACCAACGATTGGGATCCCTGTGCTACTATCACGGCCGATACAGTGCCTCCTGTGCCCTGAGATGGTGGCATATTATATTCATAGTCATCGGTGGTCTACTATTGTTGATCGGATTGGGCTATTTTATATGGTGGGCCTGCAAGATTAGACGGGAAAATCGTTATAGATATTAAATTATTAATTAGTTAATTAATTAATTAGTTTTAACCTAAATCTATTAAAAATTAATTAAATAATATTTTTTTTAAAAAATTAATTAAATAATAATTTTTTTAAAAATTAATTAAATAATAATTTTTTTAAAAATTAATTGAAATAATTAAGTTTTTTTTCAATAATATTTTATAGTAATAATTATATTAATAATTTTCATAATCATAATCATAATTTTTTTTCCTGATTTATTAATATAATTTAGTTTAATAATATATTTATATATATACTTTTTTTTTAAAAATATTGTATATTAACAATCATCAATTAATAATAAAAAATTATTTTGTTTTAAAAAATATTACTTTATATTTTAGTATTATTGTTAACATTAAAAAATTTTTATATATTTTAAATTTAATATTATATTATTATTATTCTACACTTACAATTTTTTTGTATTATATTAGTATAATACTTGAAAATAAATTTGTTGTTACAGTTTTGTTTTTTTTTAAAAAGTTATTAGTTATACAAATTAAAATAATCAATAAAATTATTTATTATTTAAATAAAAAATATTTAATAATATATTTATATAAATAATAATTATTTAAATATTCAGTAGTGACCAGGGTTTTAAGAAAATAAATGCCTGCCCTGGCAATGCCCAAATAGATGCCATAAATGCCTGGCATTTTGGGCATCTATTTTATTTGCCTGCCAATTTAAATTGCTAAAAAGCAACTGTATTTATAAAAAAAATGTAATTTAGTGTTTTAACGTGTTAATTAAATTTACAATTAATTTACTTATTTCAAATATTACCTTTGATTATTGATTGTTGAAATATATTATAAAAACAATGTTTTATAAATTAATTAATAATATAAAAATAAAATAATAGGTGTCACCACCTGAAAATAGATGCCCAGGGCATGGCAGAGGCAGGGCAGGCATTTGGCAAAATTGGCATCTATTGTTTATGCCTGCCATTTTTAAAACCCTGGTAGTGACTAATACAGTAGTATTAATAGGTGTCATAAAAACTTTTGAATTTTATTTTTTTTTATTAATATAATAATGTTTATATAAAAATATAAAAAAATACATTTAATGTTTGATGTTAATAAAAAAAATCAAATAAAAAATTTAGATTTTTTTTAATTAAACACAAATACAATACAATAATTAGAAATTTTTTTACATATAAGTTCTTAATTAAAATATACATAAAAAATAATAAGGTTTTACATAAAAATATAATTTTTATTTTGAAAAATAAATAAATAATATAATATAATAATTATTGTTTTTTATTTTTATAATTGTCTAATTGTGTTAATATCCAATCGATATAATAGGAAACTTTTGTAAACACACCGGGCATACCATCTAATAATAATATATTAATAAATTAATTTAATAATTTTTAGAAAAATTATTTTTTAAAAAATTAAAATAATACAAAAATATAAAATGTAATTTTTTTTAATGTACCAGCACATGTCGATCCATAGGATACTATGCCAACTAAATATGCTACCTTATTACGATATTCAAGTGCCGGCCCACCCGAGTCACCCTTTTTTTAAAAAAAAATAATTATTAAATAAAATTTAAAACATAATTTTATTTGTTTTATGAAACATATTTTTGTTGTTTGTATATTATATATTTTTAAAAAAATATATAAATTTATATATTAACTTATATATAATTTTTTTTATATTAAAAAATACAGTAAATAACAATTAAAATATTTTATAAATATAATAATAAGTAGACATCCTATCTATAAAAGCATTTGTACTATCTATATATATATATATATGTTAAAAATATAATTTGTATTTAAAATATATAGAGTATATATATATACCATTATATAGTTTTATAGATAATCTAACTGTCCCATTTATAATAATAATAATTACTATTATTATTATAAGCCATAATAATAATAAACTAGCATTACCTGACATGCATCCTGATTTTTATTCAATGTACACAATTGCGAGAAATAGATTTTATTATCTTTTCCCTTATACATATCGGCACACTTGAATATGCTGATCCTGGTCAGCAGGACTTCCTGTAGGTTGGTTGGTAATTCATGATTGTCAAATTGTGTCTGTCCCCAACCGGTTACCAACAGTCGACTGGCCAATGGATCTTCGTATTGACGGGTTGGCAGACAAATCGAGTTAACATTTTCGCCCATTTCGATATCATGGCGCACGTGCAACATAGCTATATCGGAATTGTACATATTATCCAGGTGAAATCGTTCATGCATTACCAGATAGTCGACACGATAGGCTCTACCTAATGATAAGTATGGTAGGATGATATGTGTATATGTGTATATGTGTATATGTGTATATGTGTATATGTGTATATGTGTATATGTGTATATGTGTATATGTGTATATGTGTATATGTGTATATGTGTATATGTGTATATGTGTATATGTGTATATGTGTATATGTGTATATGTGTATATGTGTATATGTGTATATGTGTATATGTGTATATGTGTATATGTGTATATGTGTATATGTGTATATGTGTATATGTGTATATGTGTATATGTGTATATGTGTATATGTGTATATGTGTATATGTGTATATGTGTATATGTGTATATGTGTATATGTGTATATGTGTATATGTGTATATGTGTATATGTGTATATGTGTATATGTGTATATGTGTATATGTGTATATGTGTATATGTGTATATGTGTATATGTGTGTGTATTTACCCCGGTTTCGATTTACTGTGCCAACCCTAATGGCATACAATTTTGGATCTTGATCACTATTTTATTGGGATTATAAAATTTGTAATATAAATTAAAAATTTGTAATATAAATTAAAAATTTGTAATATAAATTAAAAATTTGTAATATAAATTAAAAATTTGTAATATAAATTAAAAATTTGTAATATAAATTAAAAATTTGTAATATAAATTAAAAATTTGTAATATAAATTAAAAATTTGTAATATAAATTAAAAATTTGTAATATAAATTAAAAATTTGTAATATAAATTAAAAATTTGTAATATAAATTAAAAATTTGTAATATAAATTAAAAATTTGCAATATAAATTTAAAATTTGTAATATAGATATATTAAGATTATAATACTTTATTAGTATTTACTAAATTAAATTTATAAAAAAAAACAAGTATACAATAATAATATTAGTATTAATTAAATACTAATATTAGTATTAATTATAAAATAATATTAGAATTAAGTATATAATTATATTAGTATTAATTATTATTTAATTAATTAATTAACTAAATAAATCAAAATTAAATAAAAAACAAACAAACAATTACTAAACTTCATAAAACAATGGGCAGCCGTCAGTATCCATCGACTATTGATAATACTGCCGCCACACCAGGATTCACCGTTTTTCAATATGGCGACCATCCACGGATAGGCACCCTCTTTGGCATCCTTACCGTTGACAACCCTCTGGATAATCTGTCGGCCATCCAGTTGGCCACACCTATCCGGATTGATTTCGTCCATTGCGGGAAACTCCTGGATCGTACGCTGCTGGGGTTTGGGCTCAGTTATCCGAAAACCCGATACTACTGCCAGTTCAGCATTTTTATTCAATGCCGCCACTTGTGGATTATCATTACGCCATGGTTTAGATTTGCTTATCCTAAATGTCTGTCCATAATAGACTGGACCTGGACCACCACCACCATCCACATTACTGGCATCGTCATCGTCTACTACTACCTGGGCTGCTGCTGATGATGGTGATGCTCGTAGCTGTCGACTATGATGATAACTATCAGGTAGTAGACGACTGTCCATTGGGTGGTCTAAATAAGGATGATGTCGTCCTCCCAGATAATTATGATTGGGTCTAACCATACGTGGCTGGGAATAGGGTATATAATCTCTACCACTACCATCATCATCATCGGGAATGTCATAATTAATATTAGGATAGTCCTCATAATAATTATTTGGATAGTTCTCATAATTATTAGGATAGTTCTCATAATTATTAGGATAGTTCTCATAATTATTAGGATAGTTCTCATAATTATTAGGATAGTCCTCATTATTATTATCATAATTATTATTATCATAATTATTATTATAAATAATATAATCGTTATAATCAATTAGTCCATAATTTAAATCATTGGCCAATATTGTTGTATCTATTTATATATAATAATGTTTTTACTAATAAAACTTATTATTATTTTTTTTAAATTTAAATACTATTGATTTTATTTTATAAAAACAATTTAATTTATTTTCAATAACAATAAACTTTATTATTAAAAAAATATATACATTATATACTTACTTATTAATAGTATTAAACTAATTATTGGAAAAGTTATCCAAAAGTTAAACATAGATTTTAAATTTGTGACACTCATTGTATATAAATTTATTATTATTATTATAAATATTTTTTTTAATTAATTTATATAATTATATATATATATATATAATTATTTATAAACAAAATATTAATTAATAATATATTTAGTTATAATATGTTTTCAAATAGACGGCGCATATAGTATTAATAATTAATTAATTAAATATATATACTTATGTTAATTTACAATTATTTTTAAAAAAATAAAGTCATTTTTTTAAATAATAAATTAATTTTATTAAAATAAAATAAATATAAATAATTTTTATCAATTTATACAATTAAAGTATATATTTATAAAATATATTAGTTTTTATGTAAGTATATATTTGTAAATATTTAAATAAATTAATATTAATCATAGTTTATTTTAATGTTTTTTGTTTTTATTTATAAATTATTTGTTTTATAATATTAAAAAATGAAAAAAATATATTTGATAATGAATTATTTAAGAATTATTTTATATATTTATTTATTTTTATAATAATTATTATAGTTTTATTATTTTATATTTATTTTTATTTTTCAATTAACTTTTTTTAATTTGTTTTCTTTTTTAAAAAAAATAGTTTTAACTAATTTACAATATAATTTAAGTTGTTAAATTTATTATTGTAATAAATTTAAATTATTAGCAATAATAGCTATTCAATTGATAATTAAAACTGTAAGTACATTAAGGTTACTATTATATGTTTAATTATATATATATATACTGTATATAATATATATATAGCGCATAATTTAGATAACTAAAGGTTTGCTAAATACTAGTAATAACTAAAAACTTTAATAATAATTTTTGTTGTTGTTATTGATTTATATACCGTATATATATATAGCCCTGGTTATATTGATACACCATTTCATCAAGGTGATCGCAAAATCATTGAACAACTAATGCAATACATTAGCTCTAAGACACCATTGAAACGTATTGGTCAGCCCCTGGATATAGCCGAAGCTTGTGTTTGGTTGGCCTCCCGATCGACCAGTTTTATAACCGGTACTAATCTGGTCATCGATGGCGGTATTGTCTATAATTTAGACGGCTTATTTAGTTAGTTAATTAATTAATAATTAGTGTAGTGTTTTTTGGTATAAATATTTAAAAACTAATTATTATTTACAATCAGCCAATGTACCTGTATATTATAATTACATTTATTTACAGATTTTATTTATAAACAACAATTATTTATATATTAATATATCAATTACAACAAATAAGTAGTTTTGTATTTCATATATTTTAATAAATAGTTTCAAATAGTTTTTTTTAGTAAAAATAAATACAATTTTTATACAATTCTACTACAATTGCAACATATTTTTTCATATTATTATTATTATTATTATTTAATGCAATTGTTTATACAGTATCTATTAATATATATATATAAACTAAATTGTTATATATAAATATAAAATAACAGCTATTTATTTTTATTTTATTTTTTTAATTTTATAAAATTTATTTATTATTTATATGTATATATATATGATTATTTTATTAACTTAATTATTTATAATAATAATAATAATACTGTACATGTAATGTAATAATAATTTTTTTTGTTGAAAAATAAACAAAATAAATAATACATTTAATTATTATTGTTTTTTATTTTTATAATTGTCTAATTGTGTTAATATCCAATCGATATAATAGGAAACTTTTGTAAACACACCGGGCATACCATCTAATAATAATATATTAATAATAAATTAATTTAATAATTTTTAGAAAAATTATTTTTTAAAAAATAATTAAAATAATACAAAAATGTAAAATGTATTTTTTATTATTATAAAAAATAAATGTACCAGCACATGTAGATCCATAGGATACTATGCCAACTAAATATGCTGCCTTATTACGATATTCAAGTGCCGGCCCACCCGAGTCACCCTTTTTTATAAAAAAATAAAATAAATAAATAAATAAGATTATTATATAAAAATTATAACAATTTTTATTAGTAACTGAAACATTTTTTTTTGTATATTATAATTTAAATATACTGTATTATATGCACAGATAAAAAATAGATATCTATTTTTAAAAAAATATATATTAACATATATATAAATTTTTTTATTAAAAAAAATACAATAAATAACAAATAAAATGTTTTATAAATATAATAATAAGTAGATATTTTACTAGACATAGTGGCATCCTATCTATAAAAGCGCTTATAATCTATATAATATACAGTATATATAGTATATACACAGTATATATACAGTATATATATAACGGTATATAGTTTTATATAACTTACAGATATAATCTAACTGTCCCATTTATAATAATAATAATAATAAACTAGCATTACCTGACATGCATCCTGATTTTTATTCAATGTACACAATTGCGAGAAATAGATTTTATTATCTTTTCCCTTATACATATCGGCACACTTGAATATACTGATCCTGGTCAGCAGGACTTCCTGTAGGTTGGTTGGCAAGTCATGATTGTCAAACTGTGTCTGTCCCCAACCGGTTACCAACAATCGACTGGCCAATGGATCTTCGTATTGACGGGTGGGCAGACAAATCGAGTTAACATTTTCGCCCATTTCGATATCCTGGCGCACGTGCAACATAGCTATATCGGAATTGTACATATTATCCAGGTGAAATCGTTCATGCATTACCAGATAGTCGACACGATAGGCTCTACCTAATGATAAGTATGGTAGTATGATATGTGTATATGTGTATATGTGTATATGTGTATATGTGTATATGTGTATATGTGTATATGTGTATATGTGTATATGTGTATATGTGTATATGTGTATATGTGTATATGTGTATATGTGTATATGTGTATATGTGTATATGTGTATATGTGTATATGTGTATATGTGTATATGTGTATATGTGTATATGTGTATATGTGTATATGTGTATATGTGTATATGTGTATATGTGTATATGTGTATATGTGTATATGTGTATATGTGTATATGTGTATATGTGTATATGTGTATATGTGTATATGTGTATATGTGTATATGTGTATATGTGTATATGTGTATATGTGTATATGTGTATATGTGTATATGTGTATATGTGTATATGTGTATATGTGTATATGTGTATGTGTATGTGTATGTGTATGTGTATGTGTATGTGTATGTATGTGTATGTGTATGTATGTGTATGTGTATGTGTATGTATGTGTATGTGTATGTGTATGTGTATGTGTATGTGTATGTGTATGTGTATGTGTATGTGTATGTGTATGTGTATGTGTATGTGTATGTGTATGTGTATGTGTATGTGTATGTGTATGTGTATGTGTATGTGTATGTGTATGTGTATACTTACCCCGGTTTCGATTGACTGTGCCAACCCTAATTGCATACAATTTTGGATCTTGATCACTAATTTTTTTGAGATTATAAGGTTTGTAATACTTTGAATTAAAAAAAAATATTATAAATTTTTATAAAAAGTTAAAAATACACAAAAAAAAAACTTAAATAGACTCTATTTTAATATAGATATATAATTATATAATAATATTTATATTAATTATTATTATTACTGTATCTAAAAAATAACATCTAGTTTAATATATAAATAAATAATAATTTTAGTATTAATTAATTAATTAATTAACTAAATAAATCAAAATTAAATTTTTTTTAAAAAAAACAAACAATTACTAAACTTCATAAAACAATGGGCAGCCGTCAGTATCCATCGACTATTGATAATACTGCCGCCACACCAGGAATCACCGTTTTTCAATATGGCGACCATCCAAGGATAGGAACCTTCATTGGCATCCTTACCATTGACAACCCTAACACCAATCGGACGGCCATCCAATTGGCCACACCTATCCGGATTGATTTCGTCCATTGCTGGAAACTCCTGGACCGTACGTTGTTCGGGTTTGGGCTCAGTTATCCGAAAACCCGAGACTACTGCCTGTTCGGCATATCTATTCAGTGCCGCCACTTGTGGATTATCATTACGCCACGGTTTAGATTTGCTTGTCATAAATTTCTGTCCATAATTGACTAGACCTGGACGACCACCACTACTGGCATCGTCATCGTCTACTATTACCGGTGCTGCTGCTGCTGATGATGGTGATGCTCGTAGCTGTCGACGACTATGATGATAACTATCAGGTAGTAGACGACTGTCCATTGGGTCGTCTAAATAAGGATGGTGTCGTCCTCCCAGATAATTATGATTGGGTCTAACCATACGTGGCTGGGAATAGGGTATATAATCTCTACCACCACCACCACCACCACTACTGGCATTGGCATCATCATCATAGTCTACTACCGGTGCTGATGATGATGATGATGATCGTGATGCTAGCTGATGATAATGCCTATGATAACTATCAGATAGTAGACGACTGTCCATTGGGTCGACTAAATATGGGTCTCCTAAATCATTATGATTAGGTCTAACCATACGTATAGGCTGTAATATTGGTGGCTGGAAATAGGGTATGTAATCTCTACCATCACCACCATCACCATCACTATCGGGGATGTCATAATTAATATTAGGATACACCACATTATTATTAGGATAGTCCTCATTATTATTATTATAAATATTATTATAAATAATATAATCGTTATAATCAATTAGTCCATAATTTAAATCATTAGCCAATATTGTTGTATCTATTTATATATAATAATGTTTTTACTAATAAAACTTATTATTAATTTTGTAAAACAATTTAATTTCAATAAACAATAAACTTTATTATTAAAAATATATACATTAAATACTTACTTATTAATAGTATTAAACTAATTATTGGAAAAGTTATCCAAAAGTTAAACATAGATTTTAAATTTGTGACACTCATTGTATATAAATTTATTATTATTATTATTTTAAATATTTTTTTTTTAATTAATAAAATTATATATTAAAAGAAATTATTTATAAACAAAATATTAATTAAAAACATATTAAATGTTTTCAAATAGACGGCGCATAAAGTATTAATAATAATTAATTAATATATACAGTATATATATAGTATACTTAAGTTAATTTACATTTATTTTTAAAAATAAAAGTTATTTTTTAAATAATAGATAAATTTTATTAAAGTAAATATAAATAAATCATTTTATTTAATTAAATTATATTAGTTTTTATGTAAGTATGTATTTGTAAATGTTTAATTAAATTAATATTAATTATAGTTTATATATAAATTTTTTGTTTTATAATATTAAAAATTGAAAAAAATCTATTTGCTTATGAATTATTTAAGATTTTTTATATATTTATTTTTTTATATAATAATTATTATTAGTTTTGTTAGTCTATAGTAATTTAGATTTTTCACTTAAAATTAAAGTTTAAATTTATTTTTCTTAAAATAAATAGTTTTAATAAATTTATTATATAATTTAATTAGTTGTTATATTATATACATTATATTGCAATCTATTATGAGCTACTATAGCTATTCAATTGATAATTAAAACTGATTAACTAATTATCATTATATAAGTACATTAAGGTTACTATTATATGTTTAATTATATTTATATATAAATAATTATATAGTGTATATACTGTATAATATATATATAAGGTTATATAGTGTATAATTTATATTGTATTTTAGTAAAAATTAAATAATAGTTATTTTTATTGCTAATACTGTAATATATTACTATATATATTAATTAAACTTATTATTAAAACTAAATTTTTATTTTTATCAAAATCACAAGTATAATCCACTTAATTAATCTTAAATTATTTATTTTTTTTAAAAATTGATAATAATAATATTTTAACTAAAAACAAAATTGTATAAATATTGATTGTTTAACTAATAATTTAATAATAATAATAATTTTTTTTGGTTATTTATTATTTATTGTTTGAAAATAAAAATTAAAACAAACAAAAAAATGAATTTATTATTTATTAATTATTTTTTATTAGTCATATTTATAGCCATAGCTAATGCAAATAATTTAGTTAATAATCCATTGAATGATTCACGAAATTTTTCGGGAAAAGTTGTATTGACTACCGGTTCGAGTAGTGGTATCGGTGCCGGTATTGCCAAACTTTTTGCCCGATTGGGTGCCAATGTTGTCATCACTGGTAGAAATCAAACTGAAATCTAATTAGTGGCCAATGAATGCCAACAGTTGTCACCGAAAAAACTAAAGGTTTGCTAAATATTAATAGTAATAATAATAAACTTATTAATAAATAACAAAAAAAATCATAATTTATTATATGTATAGCCATTACAAGTTAGGGCCGATGTTAGCAATAGTACTGAATTGCAGTCACTATTGGATCAGACAATCAAAACCTATGGACAGTTGGATGTGTTGGTCAACAATGCCGGTATGGGTGCCGGAGCCGCAGTTACCGATAAACAATTTATGCCCGTATTTGACAAACTAATGGCCGTTAATTTGCGTCCGTATGTCGAACTAAGTTATCTGTCGGTACCGTATTTGAACAAAACTAACGGCTCAATTATCAGTATATCTAGTGTTAATTCAATAGCACCGGTATGTTATGATTAGAAAAGTTTTAATTTATAGATTTAATTAAAAAAAATGTTTTAAATATTTATTATTATTATTATTTCATATATACAGTCAAAATCTTCATTAGCCTATTGTGTGTCCAAATCGGCTATAGATATGATGACCCGTGTGTTGGCACTTGAATTGGGACCCAATATACGGGTCAATACAGTCAAGTAAGTTAACTATTGTATAGATATATACTGTATATACTGTAAAACTTGTAATTATATGTAAACTTATAATAATAATTATTATTATAATCATATCAAACAGTAATCATTAATAATTATTTAAAAAAAATTAATTTATGTATATGTATATATATATATATATAATAGCCCTGGCTATATTGATACACCATTTCATCAAGGTGATCGCAAAATCATTGAACAACTAATGCAATACATAAGCTCTAAGACACCATTGAAACGTATTGGTCAGCCCCTGGATATAGCCGAAGCTTGTGTTTGGTTGGCCTCCCGATCGGCCAGTTTTATAACCGGTACTAATCTGGTCATCGATGGCGGTATTGTCTATAATTTAGGCGGATTATTTAGTTAAATTTAATTAATTTAATTATATTTAATTAATTAAAATATAATTTTAATTTGATAAACCGGTTAAAAAAAATTATTTTTTAATTATATAATTATTATTGTTATTAAATTATTACAACAATTATTTTTTTTATGTGTTTTGTATAAAAAAATTTACTATTAAAACTTTTTTTTTAAAATTATTTAAATTAATTAAAAAATATAATTACAAATTATATATTAAAATAGTGAAACTAAAATATAAATTTAAACTAAAATAAATTATTTAAAAACTTGTCAATTAAATTAAATAAATATATATTTATAAAACAAATATAAAAAATTTTAAAATTATACTAAATATGTTTGTGTTTAATTTTTTTTGTTATTGATTAAGTATTTATAAATATTTACTGATTTTAAACTAAACAGTTTTAAATTATTTGAATTATCTTATTATTATTAAAATAAACATTTTTTACATAAACCACTGACTAATTGGCTGATTATAATTAAAAATAACAAAAAAAAAATATTAACTAATATATTAATACTAATCAATCTTTGCAAAAGTGTTTGCAAAATAACACATCAAAAATAATGATCAGTGAAAATAAAATAATTATTGTTTAAAATATAATCATAAAAACACTAATAAAAAAAATAAATTATGATTTTAGCAAAATTCTATACCGTATTAATAATTAATATATTAATATTAATAATTGTTTTTACAGTATATTATAATAATATTCTTAATAATAATAATAATAATATTAATAATAATTTTAATAATATTCTTAATAATATTATTAATAATAATTTTAATAATAATAGTAATAGTAATAATAATAATGATAAACAACAAAATTTATTATTGACACCATTAATCAAATCGGGTATTAGTGATGATATAGTAAAAGCCCGATCCATGAGTCGGGTGCTAACAGTCCCTAATGGACCCAATGTTGAATCGTATACCGGATTTATAACAGTCAACGACCGATACAATAGTAATATGTTTTTCTGGTTTATACCATGTTTTGTAAGTTTTTTTTTTTTTGGTTTTATTTAATATAAATTTCTATTAAATTAATCCCTAATTTAATCTTTAAAAAAATAGAAAAATCCCGAAACTGCACCGGTATTAGTCTATCTAGAGGGTGGTCCGGGAATGTCATCGCTAGTATCACTATTTATGTGGGGCACATTCAACATAGACTATAAATTAAATGTAACAATAAACCCGTGGTCATGGAATCGTCAATTATTTTCCATTATATATGTGGATAATCCCGTCGGAACAGGATTTAGTTATACCAATGATAATACCAATAATGGCTATTCCAGAGACCAGTTGACTATTTCACAGAATTTATATGAATTTCTCAGACAATTTTTCCTGGTTTTTCATGACTACCGTAAACGGGATTTATATGTAGGCGGTGTATCATATGCTGGGAAATATGTGCCCGCATTTGGCCACTACTTAATACAAATGTCAAACATATCTAATCTGAATTTCAAGGGTATACTCGTTGGCAATGGTTTTACTGATCCAATCAATCAGTTAGCCTATGATAAGACACTATTGAATTTGGGTTTAATTGATGAAAATCAAGCCATTGAAGTCCAGACAAAACAAAATCAAATCAAACAATTGATAAAATCTATGGACTATTTGAAAGCATCAAAATTATTCATACAATTAAGTATGTAAAGTATGTTTTTAGCATTTATTAATTAATTAATTAAAACATAGCAATTAACTATTGTTAACTAATTAAATTATTTTTCTTAAAAAAATATATAAATTAATAACAATTATAATAATTAAAAAATAAGTAATTATTATTTATTTTATTTTTTTTTTTTAAAGTACTAGCAAATCAACCAAACAATTACCTAATGAATATAACAGGTTTTCCATTGTTTTATAATATTCAACAATCGGATAATGTTTTGAATAGACTATATTTAGTTGAAAATTATTTCAAACAACAATCGGTTAGGAAAGCCATACACGTTGGCAGTGATGATGATATGATTGTCTATAATATGTACAGTCTATTAGTTCATCAGTATATGAGTGATGATTTTACCCGATCGGCTGAACCTAATTTGACGGCAATCATAGACAATGGTTATAAAGTATTGCTATTTACCGGTAATTTGGATATTGTTGTTGGCATCGAATCTACCAATGGATTGCTATTAAATAAAAGTACTGAAAAAAAAATTTAATTAATTTAATTTTTTATCAAAAAAAAAATTTATTTTATGTTTGTATTTAATTTATAACTTAAAATAGATTGGAAATATTATTTAGATTATAATAGAGCCAAACGTGACATTTGGAAAGTCAATAGAAACGACCCGGAAATAGCCGGTTATGCAAAAAGTTTCGGTAATTTTCAGCATATTATTGTACGTAATGCCGGCCATTTTGCAATGTTAGACCAGCCCAGGGCTACACTAGATATGGCCAAACGGTTCATCAAATCGCTAACATTTGATTAACTATTATCTATTATTATTTTTTTATTATTATATAAATTAGTAAAATTAACTTGAGGGACAATTGGGATCGATCTAAGACCGATCATATGGTGTGGTCACCGGTATGACCGATCGGTAGTCGATCATTCCCTCATAATTAGTTAAATTATCCAATTGAACACAAATGTTAATCAAATAAATAACTTTATTAAATATAATACAATATACAGAAAATAATAAGTAATATAAATAAGTATAAATAAAGAGTAATGTTAACTCTATGATAGCTAACAATTGACTGAATTAAATGTGTATTAAACACATGTATTTATAGAGGTTTTAAAGTAAGCATTTAGTATATGAATATTAATAGTATTGAGTCTCAGAGTAATAATGGTTTGGAGACTCATTGATAATATGTTGATTACATTGATATAAGTTTGGAGGAAAGTATTGTTGACTATTTGATCGGTCTATAGACCGGTCAATGTTGGAACTTTCCCTCAATTCCCACCCGTTGAAGGTCGGGCCACTAGTTGGACCCATAACCATATTTGAATTAATTGGCGACGGGCTACGTGAGGACAGGTATCTCGATGTTGTTGTGACAAATGGTTGCAAATACTTGTATTGATTGTTGTTGTCATTGTTGTTGTATGACTGGACTTGAATGTATTGTTGTTGTGTTGGCGGTGATTGACCATCACGCCAATGATATGATCGTAAAGCTGATGAATGAGCTATAAACGACTTAATGATAGTATTATCGTTTACGTGCAGTTGGTTTAGTCGGTAAGTTTCGGCGCCAAGTTTTTCGGTAACAATACATGGTGCGAGATATGAGGCCGTAAACTTAGATCTTGATGGATGATTGTCTGGGATTCGGTATCTGACATAGTCACCGATATCAAAGTTGGATCGTTGGTGTTTGGAATTATGTAACTGTGACCTCTTGGTTTGTGCAGCGCGAGATCGGTCGGTCACTTGTCGTCTCGCTTCTTCAATGGTGACAGTTGGATTCGGTTGACCGGTCGGTACATGTCCAAATTGTACGTATCTTGGTACAAATCCGGTAACCTTATGATGTTGATTGTTAAGTGATTCGACCACCTTTTCCAAATGCGAAGACCATTTACGGTTGGATCGATCGGCCAGAGCTAAGCTGATACCAGTTTTGATCAATCCATTAGCTTTTTCGCATAGACCGTTGGCTTGCGGATGATATGGTGGCGATAATAAGTGTTTGATTTTACGGCTTTCCAAGAAATGTCTAAACCGTGTTGACGTATAGTTGGTTCCATTGTCGGTCAGTAGAGCGGCTGGTTGACCTGCAGCTCTAAAAACATGAATGAGCGCATTAATGACAGCTTCAGATGTATTGTTTTTAACAGCTGATGCCCATATATAGCGCGAATGATGGTCGATAATAGTGAGGACGTATTTTGCGGACGAATTATTGGCGGCAGTCCCCACCACCACTGAATCCATGGCCCATAGTTGATTTGGACCGGTCGGCGTCTCGATTGGTCGACTGGTTCCGAGTGATGCTTGATTTGATGGTTTAACCGTTTGACAAGTATGACATGACTTGACATATTTTATTATCTCTATGTTACGGTTTGGCCACCAATACTGTGATGCTATGAGTCTAATGGTTTTATCAGTACCGGGGTGATTATGATTATCATGTGCTTGTCTAAGCAAATCACCGATGAGAGATCTCGGTACTATGATGCGTTCTTTTTTGTTGTATATGATATATGATATACCGTTTCTCTTGATGGTTGGCAAACGTATATCATAATCATCGATTTCATGTTGATTGAGAGCGATTTGACCGATCTCAATATGATGTGACACTGGATTACGAGACAATGCGTCGGGTGCTTGGTTTGTCTTTCCAGGCCTGTGTTGAACGTTGTAGTCAAATGCTGAAAGTCGAACAGACCAGCGGTACAACATTGATGATGGATTTGGTATCGATAATAACCATTTCAGAGCAGAGCAGTCGGTGAAGACTGTGAAGTGACTGCCTTCCAGGTAAACCCGGAAGTGCTCGACAGCGTTAACCACTGCGAGACATTCGAGTTGTGCCGAGGAGTACTTACACTCGCTTGATTTGGTTTTACGAGACCAATAGGAGATTACATGTGGATTGTTATGTGAGTCTTTTTGCATTAATATGCCTGCTAGACCCACGGCTGATGCGTCGGTGTGTAATTCAATGGGAAGGGACCGATCGTAAATGGCGAGAACCGGTGAGGTCGAAAGCGCTTCCTTGAGTTTGTCAAACGCTTCTTGATGTGACCGATCCCATGTGAACTCAGTTTTGCGTGATGTGAGTGCCGTAAGTGGTGCGGCAATGTCGCTAAACTTGTCAATGAATGTACGGTAAAAATTACACAAACCTATAAATTGTTGTACAGCAACTTTAGTTTTCGTGTTGGAAACTCAGTTACTGATTTCAATTTAGATGGTGATGGTTTCACTTGATCTGATGAAACTACATGTCCAAGAAACTCGATTTCGATGGCCATAAATTTGCATTTTTCTTGTCTTAGGCGCACTCCGTGATCGGTGAGGCGTTTTAGGACTCGTTCCAATAGATCCAAGTGTTCTTTTTCGGTTTTAGTATGGATAACAATATCATCGAGATATTGTTCCACACCATTGCCGTGAAAATCTTGTAGTATATGTCGGAGTTCACGTTGAAATACACTGCCGGCGTTTTTTAATCCGAATGGTAAAACTGTAAACTCAAACTGTCCGTATGGTGTGACAAAAGCGGTGCATTCGACCGATCTAGGAGATAATGGTATTTGCCAATATCCCCATGCAACATCAAGTGTTGTAAAGTAGACCGATCCCGACAATTTGTCAATTAGGTCGCGTATAATTGGTAGAGGTTCACGCTCACTGATGGTCATCGCGTTTAATTTGCGATAATCAATGACAGGTCTGTACCCACCAGTGCGCTTATCTACTAAAAACATAGGACTGGCCCAAGGTGAACCCTTGCGGCACTTTCTGATTAGGCCTGTTTCAAGCATTTCTTCCGTATGTTTTCTCATAATGGCTTCGCTATCGGGAGATAATCGAAAAAATCGTTGATGGTATGGTATGGCGTCGGGTTTCAGTCGAATCTAGTGTTCGGCTGTCTTGAATTTACCGACATCCTTGTCATGTCTACAGAAAACATCGATCGATCCTAACAATCCATCGAGACCGGTCTTGCCGATCTGATTGATTGATAGAGATGGTGATGGAACTGTAGATATCGTATGATTAAGATAATGGGTTTGTATGTATGGTTTTCCGACATCAAATCGAGGTGTTAAATTGAATGCATAGCCGGCATCGATACCAATAAGAACCTTGTGTTCAAAATCATCGACGATATGAAATGAAAGTTGCCGAACCTTTTTGAAGATCCGTACGTCGACGTCCACTCGGCCAATGGTTCGCTTAAAGCCGCTTAATGTCTTGATGTTAATGTCCGAATTAATAATAGGTTTCAATCCAAATCGATCGGCTGTTTCTCGTGACATAACACTGCATGTGCTACCAGTGTCGAGAAAAGCGTAGACCTTGTCTTGACCGATCCAGATTGCGTAATACAGATATCCATTATCGCCAATTACATTGCATTCTTCAAGAGTGTTAGTAATGGCTAGTTGTGATGATCCAGGATTTGCTGTAGTCGTAGCTGATGGTTGTGGTCTTATTTGGCACTGATTATGCCAATGGTATTCGGTCTTACCAATAGCTGTACAGTACCTGCACGGAGATGATGGTTGTTTTGGTTTCTTATCAAACTTTTTCTTTGACCGGTCCTTATGTCTTTTATCTGACGATAAGACCGATCCGTCTTCATCGATGGTATTGGTATGCTCTCGATGCTTGTTGTATGCTTTTGCGGCCTCGACTGCCTTCGCAACATTAAGCCATGTTTCGGCATCCTTTACTTGTGCGGCGGCCATAGCTATCTTGAATGCTTCGGGCAAACCGTTAGTTAATAGCGAAACTTGTTGATGTTCGGGTAGTCGAGCCCTGTCCAAGAGTTTACGCATTGCGTGGTAATACTCGATGACAGTTTCGTTAGCCTTGAGTTTCCGTTTTGATGCGTCGAGTAAGGGATCGTTTACCGAATCACCAAATCGACCGATCATTTTTCGTCGAACGTCAGGCCATGAAAGAGTAGCCAACTTTGGTATGACATCTTTGGCCAACCATTCGAGTGCATCTTCTGATAGGTGTTTCGTGAGAGCAATAATTTTGTCATAATCGGGAAAATCAAGTGTTAGTGCTTCGTAAATGTCAAGACATGATTGCACAGTAATTTTTGATGAACCGCAAGAGAATCGATCACACAATGGACGTCCATTTCTTTGATATAACTTGAATGATGAGGTTTGTTGATCGACCGGTCGATCGGTCGTCAAGTTTATATCATCGAAAATGTTTGTGTTGGACCTCTGATATGTTTGTTGAGCACTTGTAGACGGTATGTGTTGAGATTGGATGTTAGGAGTTGAATGGCTTTTAGGATCTAGTCCTACAAGACTATTAATCCCCGAAACTACTGCATTATGAACAGTGTCTCTAATGTTCTTTTCATATTCACGTCTACTTGCGATTGTATTCGTGATTGTCTTTTTGCCGTTTCGTAACAAAGGCATGGCTGAGATGTTGGTGTAGAAGCACTAAAGTAGATGACTTGATTTGAATGTCGATATAATATGACGCACTGTATGTATGAGTTCCTCGAAAGATTCGGATGTCGACTGCGCCAAATGAGGGATAATTGATAGTTTGGCGCACTGTTGTATTGATGATGAGTTCCTCGGAAGGTTCGGAAGCCGACTGCGCCAAATGAGGGATAATTGATAGTTTGGCGCACTGTTGTATTGATGATGAGTTCCTCGGAAGGTTCGGATGCCGACTGCGCCAAATGAGGGACAATTGGGATCGATCTAAGACCGATCATATGGTGTGGTCACCGGTATGACCGATCGGTAGTCGATCATTCCCTCATAATTAGTTAAATTATCCAATTGAACACAAATGTTAATCAAATAAATAACTTTATTAAATATAATACAATATACAGAAAATAATAAGTAATATAAATAAGTATAAATAAAGAGTAATGTTAACTCTATGATAGCTAACAATTGACTGAATTAAATGTGTATTAAACACATGTATTTATAGAGGTTTTAAAGTAAGCATTTAGTATATGAATATTAATAGTATTGAGTCTCAGAGTAATAATGGTTTGGAGACTCATTGATAATATGTTGATTACATTGATATAAGTTTGGAGGAAAGTATTGTTGACTATTTGATCGGTCTATAGACCGGTCAATGTTGGAACTTTCCCTCAAACTAAATATTTGTTATATAATATAATGAATCAAAAAATTATATATATATATATAAATAGTTATATTAATTAAATAATTGTTATATTAACAAAATAATCAATATATATATTTATTATATAATGTATACATTTATTTAATATATATATATAACCCAATTAAATCTATTTTGTGAATATATTTAGAGTAAAATTAAGTTAGTAATTTTTATTAATATAATAAATTTTTAAACTAAAAACTAATATATTTTAATTATACAGATTTAATATTATTTTTTCAAAACAATTATTATTATATCTATATAAGTATATAAATATTAAGCACAGAAAATTATTTATTTATTTTTTAGTAATTCATGTATTATTTGTTGTTATTATTGAAAATTTAATACTAAATTGCGTCAAATAAACGTATGTTTAATTTTGGTTTAATTTATTTTTAGAAAATATTTAATAAAAAATATTAATGTTTTTTTTAGATTTTTTTTTGATTAATTAATTTATATATATATATATATATATTATTAAATTTATGTATATACATATTAATGATCAGTGTTTTAATAATCAGTATTTTCAAAAAAATAAAATAAAAATTTATAAAAAAATTTAATTTAAAATAATAATAATAATAATACAAAATGAATCGTTTTATTGTATTGTTTGCATCAATGGTTATCATTGTTTTTCGTAAGTTTATTATTATTATTATTATTAGTAAAATTAATTTTTTTTAAATGTTAAAAAAATAACTATATTTTTTATTTATTATTGCAATATTGTTTAATTTTCATTTACTTTAATTTAATTTAAAATTTATAGTATCAAACATACCAGCTTTGGCTCAGGGAGATGATGGTAATGGTGGTCAATCTGATGATGGATTGGTTGTAAGTGTAGTTCAATAAACAAACAAAAAAAATATTATAATATTTTTTAATTATATTTTTTCAATCTTGAAAATATAGGAAACTGCAAAACCACCATTTAATAATTGGGGTGGTTGAATAATAAAATTTTTAAAAAAAACTAAAAAAAACTAAAATTCAATTACAATTAAAACATATTTTTTCATATTATTAGTATTTTAATTATTATTTAATGCAATTTTTTTAAACATTATATATATATAACTAAATTGTTATATATAAATTAAATAACTGTTATTTATTTTTATGAATTTTCAAAAATTTTATAATATATATATATATAATTTTATTTAATTATAGATATAATTATTTAAAATAATAATAATTTTGTTTTAACTTATAAAATATTAGAATAAAAATAATAGAGTAATTGAAAAATATAAAATTTTAATTTTAAATATTGCTACCATTTAATTTCATATAAGTATTTATTTGTTAACTTATAATTATTGCAAAATAAATAGATGTTTAGCATATTATTTGTGTCAATAGATAGATATTGATATAAAAATTTAATGAAAAAAAATTATATTCTGTTTAATATTAATTTTTTAGATAATAATATTTGAAATTTTTATTGTTTTTATTTTGATAATAATCACAAATAATATTGTAAATAATTATATTAAATTAGTTTATTATAAATTTATATTATTTATTATTATTATCAATCAAATAAATCAGATAAAGCTAGTAATTTTTATGTATTAATTTTAATAATAATTAAATAAAATATTTATTGATATTATCTAAATTTTTATATAAATATAAATGAAACAAATTAATTTTTTTTAATTATTAAAAAAATATTGGAAAAATATGCTTATTTATTTTATAAAAAAATATTATTATTTTATTTATTTTTTAAAAAAATTTTTGTTTATTTATTTTAATATTATATGTTTATTAATTAATTTAAAATTATAAATATTAAATTAATGCAAATGTTGTATAAATAAATTTTTCAATTATCTTATCATTAATACATATAAACAAAACTACTGACTAATAGTATGATAATAATTAATAATTAATTAAATAATTAATAAAAAATAACAAAAATAAAAATAATTAAATAAAAATAAAATAATACTAATCAATTAAAAGTGTATGACAAATAATTACATAAACAATAGTCAATCAAAATAAAATCATTTATTTATTTATAAAATATATACTCATAAAAAACATAACAAATATTTATTATTATTATTTTTCACATTAAAAAACACATAAACAAATAAATAATGATTTTAACAAAATTATATACCGTATTAATAATTAATATATTAATATTAATAATTGTTTTTATAGTATATTATAATAATAAAAATACTACTATTAATACTATTACTATTACTAATACTAATAATATTAATAATAATAATAATAATAACGATTATATTAATAATAATGATAATGATAAACAACAAAATTTATTATTGACACCATTAATCAAATCGGGTATTAGTGATGATATAGTAAAAGCCCGATCCATGAGTCGGGTGCTAACAGTCCCTAATGGACCCAATGTTGAATCGTATACCGGATTTATAACAGTCAACAACCGATACAATAGTAATATGTTTTTCTGGTTTATACCATGTTTTGTAAGTTATTATTAATGAAAAAAATTATTTTATAATATATATATATATATTTAAAAAAATAAATTTTTATTTAAAGAAAAATCCCGAAACGGCACCGGTATTAGTCTATCTAGAAGGTGGTCCGGGAACATCATCACTAGTATCACTGTTTATGTGGGGCACATTCAACATAGACTATAAATTAAATGTAACAATAAACCCGTGGTCATGGAATCGTCAATTATTTTCCATTATATATGTGGATAATCCCGTCGGAACAGGATTTAGTTATACCAATGATTCAGATAATGGCTATTCCAGAGACCAGTTAACTGTTTCACAGAATTTATATGAATTTCTCAGACAATTTTTCCTGGTTTTCCATGACTACCGTAAACGGGATTTATATTTAGGCGGTGTATCATATGCTGGGAAATATGTGCCCGCATTTGGCCACTACTTAATACAAATGTCAAACAAATCTAATCTGAATTTCACGGGTATACTCGTTGGCAATGGTTTTACTGATCCAATCAATCAGTTAGCCTATGATAAGACACTATTGAATTTGGGTTTAATCGATGAAAATCAAGCCATTGAAGTCCAGACAAAACAAAATCAATTCAAACAATTGATAAAATCTATGGACTATTTTAAAGCATCAAAATTATTCCAACAATTAAGTAATAATAATATAAATATAATAGTATTTATAAATTTATTTTATTTTTAAAAAATATAATTATTATCTAATTATAATCTAATTAAATACCAGCGATTAACTAATTTAATTAATAACATCAAAATAATAAAAAGCATAAAAACAATCAAAACTATACTAATAATTATAATAATTAATTAATATTTAAAATAATATTTATTTTTTTTTAAAAAGTTACATTATATGAATCCAACAATTATCTAAGCAATATAACTGGTTTTGAATTGTTTTACAATATTCATCAATCAATTGGTTATGATATAGAAATTTTTGTCGACAAATATTTGGCACAACAGTCGGTTAGGAAAGCCATACACATTGGCAGTGATGGTGTTGTCTATAATATGACCAGTCGTTTAGTTTTTCGTAATTTGTTTGAAGATATTACCCGATCGGCTGAACCTAATTTGACGGCACTTATAGATAACGGCTATAAAGTATTGTTATTTACCGGTAATTTGGATATTATTGTTGGCGTCGAATCTACCAATGGATTGCTATTAAATAAAAGTAAAACAACAAAAATTTAAAATTTTTATTTTAATTTATTTTTTTATCAACAAAAAAACTTTAATATTTAATTATTTAATTAATTTATAACTAAAATAGATTGGAAATATTATTTAGATTATAATAGAGCCAAACGTTGCATTTGGAAAGTCAATGGAAACGACCCGGAAATAGCCGGTTATGCAAAAAGTTTCGGTAATTTTCAGCATATTATTGTACGTAATGCCGGCCATTTTGCAATGTTAGATCAGCCCAGGGCTACACTAGATATGGCCAATCGGTTTATCAAATCACTAACATTTGATTAACTATTATCTATTATTATTTATTATTATTATATATATATAATAGTAAAATTAACTAAATAATTGTTATAATATAATGAATGAAAAAAAATTATTTACAGTTAGACTGATCAGTGATAATATATTTATTAATATATAATATATAATTTTTTTTATATATAATATAATATATATATAATATATTACATATTATAATATATATACATATAATATATTATATATATATAGCCCTGGTTATATTAAAAGTTATTTTTTAAAACACAATTAATAAACATTGTAAACTTTAATTTAATTTATTGATGAAATATTATAAAACACAATTAATTATTGTTTTAAAGTTTTAAATTTTTTTTATCATTGTATAGTAATTATTGTAATAAATATTTTTAAATTTATTTTAATCTCACATTTGTTTGTTTATTATCTTATTTTCAACTATTAATATTTGTAACATAAAAAATAATATTATAATATTTTTTTTATTTTATCATAAATTTAGTCATAATTATCTATTATATGTGTATGTGTTTTGAAAATATTAGATGTATTTTTTTAGCTAAAAATATAGCAATAATTTAATAATAAATATTATTTTAATGAATTATAACAAATATTACTTTTCTGTATTTTATAAAATTTTATTTATTATATTATAAATTTTTAGTATGAATTAATAAAAATTATTTACAATTAAATATAAATATTTTCAAAAAAATACTTTTAATGTAAAATTTACTAATAAAACATATTAAACTATAATAAAATTATTAAAAAATATTTTTTATCTAACTATTAAAAAATTTTAAACTAAACAAACTAATTATTAATATATAAAATAATATAGACAATAAATTAAATAATTTTTTTTAAATCTAAAGTTGTTTGTTTTATTAATATGTTTTTTTCTAAATTAAATTTTGATAATTATTTACTATTAATAATTATTTACTTTTTTCAATGCAAAACAAATATAGAAAAAATTTATATAATTAATTTTAAAATAATTGCGTCAATTATTCATTAGTACATAAATATACTGTATATATATATAATATTGAATCTAACTTAATTATTATTATTTTGAAAAAAATAACCATTACCGTTAGATCTTGTAGTTTTCCCCATATGAAAATATATAAGACATGGCGAATAATGCGAGTTTTGTACCATATAAAAAATATATAGTTTTTATTACTTTGAATAATATATTGCCACCCCTCTGACATAAAAAATATTTTTTATTTTTTCAATATTTTCCCACCCCTTGTATTTGGACGTCTCTAGTTGTTCCAACCCCCCCCTCTATATACCCTCAATAAGCTATCTCAATTATCAAATCCGATATCAAAATTCAAATCAAATGCGGACAAACGGACAGACATACGGACATATAGAATTCAGATACGCTAATAACTTTCAATGAGTTCGAGAAAAATCAATATATTGAATTATACCCCCCATTGAAACTTTTAATGAATTTTAAATTATATATTTTTTATAAAAAAAAATAAATATAAATAATCTGATACTATTAATTGCGTCAATAGACTCGTTGATTATTAATTAACTAAATTATTATATAACAACATAAATTTATTATATAAACATATTTAAACGGTTGACAGATCAGGCATAACAATTTGGCCGGACAATTTGTCAATTAAATTATAACAAAAAAAAAATATGTATACAATATATTTACAACAGTTATTATTTATTTATTTTTATTTATTGAAAGTAGTTAAGCATTTCGTAATTTTTTTTTAAAATAATACATAATTAAATAATAATACACAATTTACAATAATAATAATAATAATAAAATAATTATGATGCAAACGTACACAATATTATTGTATTGTATTGTATAACATAATGATGAATCTAAAATTTTTAAAAATATATATATAAAATTCTTATTAAAATAATATTTTGATATAAACATAATAATAAACTATTTGTATATTTATATATTACTATTTAATAACTTTATATATATATATTATTAATATGGCATTTCTATTATATATATATATATATATATATATTACAGATACGATTTTGTAAATTTATATCCAATAAGTTTTTTTAAATACATTAATTTATACCTCTTTAATTAGGTTATATAAGTCTGGTTTTCGTAACGATTAGTATATCTTTTTTTTAAAAAAAAATAAAAATAAATATAAATAATTTTTTTAAAAACTTATAATAACAATAATAATAACAACAATGAATCGTTTCATTGTATTGTTTGAAGTAGTCATCTGTACTGCTATTCGTAAGTTAAAAATTTCGATATACTATTAAATGCTATATTTATTAAAAAAAATATATGTATTTTAATATTATATATATATTTTTTTTTTATAAAAAAAATTATTCAAATAGTATCAATCATACCGGCCTTAGCTCAAGATGACGGTGATAGTGGCGTAAGTATAATATATATATATATATATATATATTGTTATTTAAATTATTTTTTTAAAAAAATAAAGTTTATGTATATATTTTTTTTAATAAAAAATTTATATTAATAATATACAGGCAGCAATTGGGCCTCCGGGTGCTTATGAAGCTCCCTAAACAAACAACAACAACAACAACAACAAAAATTTAACTAAAACAACAATTATTAAAAATATCGAAAATTATCTTTAAATATATATATAATTAAAAGTAAATTGTTTTCTATATATATATATATATATAATTACTTTTATATATAATTTTGTTTGTTTGTATTAAAAAATAATTTCCCAAAATATAAATAAATTAATTTTTATTTTAACAAATCATTTTTTGTTTGTTTTATTTCTATTTGAATTTTTGTTTTGTTTAATTATTTTTATTGTATGTGCAATTAGTTTATAATACATTTATATTATAGATTATTTATTATTATTATTATCAATTAAATCAGATAAATTTTGTATATTAATATAATTAAAATTTTTAACAAAAAAATTATTATTATTATTTATAAAATAAAAACTATATTTTTAAAAATAATTATATAAAATTAGATAAAAAACTATTATCTAAATTTTAGTAAAAATAATAAAATTAACTAAATAATAGTTATAATAATATAATGAAGCAAAAAATTATTTACTGTTAAAGTGATCAGTGATAATATATTTATTAATATATAATAAATAATTTTATTTATATATAATAAATAATTTTATTTAATATATAATATTTAATATAATGTATATATATATATAGCTTATATTGAAAGATAAGTTTTAAAACACCATTAAAAAAAATTGTAAACTTTGTTGATCTATTTTGTTGATAAAATATAATAAAACACAATTAATTATTTTAAGATGATTTTTTTAGCATTATATAGTAATTATTGTAATAAATATTTTTAAATTTATTTTAAATTCACATTTGTTTGTTTATTAACTCATTTTCAACTATATATTAATATTTGTAACATAAAAAATAATATTATTTTTATTTTATCATAAATTTAGTCATAATTATATATTATATGTGTATGTGTTTTGAAATTATTAGTTTTTTGTTGTTGTTTTAGCTAAAAATATATCAATAGTTTAACGATAAATATTATTTTATTTTATTATAACAAATATTACTTTTTTGTATTGTATAAAATTTTATTTATTATATAATAAATTTTATGTTTGAATTAATAAAAACTATTTACAATATAATGAAAATTAACTAATAAAACATTTTAAACTATAATAATTTTTTAATCTAATTATAAAAAATCTTAAACTAAACAAACTAATATATAAAATAATATAGATAACAAATTAAATAATTTAAAAAAAACTAAAGTTGTTTGTTTTTTTAAATACATTTTTTTCTCTATTAAATTTTAATAATTATTTACTATTTTTTCAATGCAAAACAAATATAGAAAAAATTTTATATTAAAATTAAATTAACTTTAAAATAATTGCGTCAATTATTCATTAGTTCAGAAATATAAAAAATATAAAAATAAATATATATATAATATTTAGTCTACCTTAATTATTATTATGTTTTTTAAAAAAAATAACAATTACCGTTAAATCTTATAGTTTTTCCCATATGAAAAATATATAGTTTTTTAATTTAAATAATAATTTTCTATCCCTACTTATATATATATATACATATAAATATATTCAAAATTTCCCACCCCTTGTATTTGGACGTCTCTAGTTGTTTCAACCCCTTTGAATATGCTATCTATTTATAACGATTTATAATCTATATATATATATATATATATAGTGTAATAAATTAATTAGCAATAATACAGTAGTTATCTAATTATATATCGGTTTTAATTAGATTACTGTTAATTATCGGTCAATACAGTTCCTTATTTCCCCCAAATTTTGCTTTTTCCCCCACTCATTTAATTTATCAGGTGTGGTAAAAAATGCTAATATTTTACGGTATGAAAATGTTAGTTTTTATATTTATTTTTTTTAATTTTCTCATAGGGAAAAACACAATTGTACGGTAACAGTATAAAAAAATTACAATTGCTACCCCCATTAAAATTTTCTATAATATCTATAGTAGTAATAAATTAATTATTTTTTTTGTTTTAATATTTATTGTATTTTTAAAATAAAAATATATATATATTCAACTAAATTAAACTATTATCATTTCATAAATTTATTCAATATATTGAATCTATAATTTAATAAAAAAAAATATTAATTATTTTATTTTCGTCAACAAACAAAAAATATGGCAAGCATAATAATCAAATTAAATATTTTATTGCTAAATACCAGTTGAAAATGCTAGAAAGCATTTCCATATGGAACTCACTTATCAAAAGTATAAATTAAATTAAACATCAAATATCTATATGACTAAATAAACTCAACTGTAGTCAAGTAGAGTATCAAATAATTTAGCATGATAAAATAAATTCAACATTAGCCCAATATGGGGTATAAAATGGATCAGTATTACAAAAAATAAACTGAACTTTAGTCATATATGGTATAAAATAACTAAAAAAAAGTATATTTACTCTAAATTTTATATTAGTATTAACTTAACATTTATTTTATATCTTGTTTAAAATATATAAAAAAAATTAATTGTATGCTAATTGAATATAATTTATTTTTTATGTTTATTTTATATCTAAGTTTTCAACATTCAAACATAAAAACTTTTGTTAAAATTTTGTCGCCATTTTTTTCCATATGTTCCTTATGAGATATTTAATTATCAAATCCGAAATCAAAATTCAATCAAATGCAGACAAACGGACGTACGTAAGGACATATAGAATTCATAAACGTACAACACTTTCAAGGAGTTCGTGAAAAAATCAATATATTGAATTATACCCGTTGAAACTTTAATTAATTTTAAATTATATATTTTTTAAAAAAAATAAAATTAAATTAATCTGATACTATTACTTGCGTCAATAGACAGATGGTTTTTTTTAAAATTAAATAAATTATTATATAACAACATAAATTTTTATTTTAAACATATTTAAACACGATTGACAGATCAGGCATAACATTTGACGGACAATAAAATAAATAAATAAATTAATAATAATAAAGTAATAAAAAATATAGTATATATAGTATTATATAATTACAACAATTATTATTTGTTGTTTGTTTAGTTAGTATTAGTTAGTTAAGCATTTAGTATTTTTTTAAAAAAAAATAATACATAAATAAAATACATAATATGCGATAATAATAATAATAATAAAATAATTATGATCCAGTCTATATATTTTTTTTGGTACTGTATTGATACATAATGATACACTAAAATCTTAAATATATATAAATAAAACTTTAATATTATATAATATAAAAATAATATTTTAAATATAGTATATACTTATTATATATTATATTATATATATATTATTAATTTGGCATTGCTACAAGTAGCATATAAATTACAGGTACGTTTATTTATTTTTTTTGTAAATTAATATATATATAAAAAAATATATTAAATTTAAAAAAAAATATATTAATTAATTAATTTTTTCTACCTCTATATTAGTGTATATAAGTCGATCAGTTTGCAGTTCCAGTTGAGAGAGAATCAGTATCTATTTATTTAATAATAAACAAAAAAAAATTGTTAATAATAATAATAATGAATCGTTTTATTGTATTATTATAATCAGTCGTCTGTACTGCTATTCGTAAGTTTTGCTATTTCATATATTTTTTTTAAAAAAAACAAATATTTTAATATTATATTAAAAAAAATTTTTTTTATTCAAATAGTATCAATCATACCGGCCTTAGCTCAGGATGAAGGTGGCGATCAAGGGGTAGCCGGAGGTGAATCTGGAGACTCTGTATGTGTTTGAATATAAATAAATATATATATATATATATATATATATATATATATATATTTTAAAAAATTTTAAAATTTATGTATATATATATATTTTTTTGTATTTTTTTTAATATTAATAATTTACAGGGAGTAGGTGGGCCTCCATTTAATCAATGGGGTGGCTAAACAAATAAACATCAATCAATCAATCAAACAACAAAAATTTAACCAAAAATTAAACAACAATTTTAATTATAAATTATCTAAATATATTTATATATAATTACTTTTATATAAATTTTTTTGTTTGTTTGTTTGTATTAAAAAAAATAAGTTTTCTTAAAATTTCCCAAAAATATATGTACTGTATGTCAAAAAAATAAAATTTGTTAATAAAATTAATTTTTTGTTTAAACAAATCATTGTTTTGTTGTTTTATTTCTATTTGAATTAATTATTTTTTTATTTTGAATTACAATCGCATCATCCGTATTGTTAAGGTCCGTGATTCACATATTACGTTTGTAGCACTTTTTAAGAAATCTAGACCCCCACCCCTCCCCTCAAGTGCGAACGTAATATGTGAAACACGCCAAATATGTATGTGCAATTAGTTTATATAATACAATTATATTATAGATTATTTATTATTATTATTAATTATTATTATTATTATTTATTATTATTGATAGTGGGCATTGAAACTGTCGGATTAGGTAGTAAAAATTGAATTTGATTTTATTAAAAAGTTAATTTTTATTAATTAATTATATAATCGCCATCCAATTCGATAACTTCCCGCCATTTATTCGGCAACTTTTCAATTCCCTCGGCGAACCAGTTTTTCTCTTTTAAGCCGAAAAACTCTTTGACCGCCACTTCGACCTCCTCCCGATTTTTAAATTTTTTTCCATCAAGAAAGTGTTGCATTGATCGAAACAAATAATAATCTGAAGGGGCAATATCAGGTGAATATGGTGGGTGAGGAATGATTTTCCAACCAAAATCCTTTAACAAGTTTTGTGTCATCTTTGCGGTGTGAGATGGTGCATTATCTTGATGGAAATTTACACCCCAATGATTAACCAATGATTTGCGATTTTCTTTCAATTTTTCACGAAGTCGTGTCAATTGCTGACAATAGACTTCGGCTGATATGGTAGCACCGACTTCTAAAAGCTCCCAATGGATAATTCCCGACTTATCCCACCAAACAGACAACATAACCTTTTGCTGTCGGAAATCTGGTCGCGGTCTTCCAACTGGTCGTTGTCCAGGAGATCTCCATTCACTCTTCTTACTATCGTTGACATAGTATATTAATTTTTCATCTCCGGTTACCATCCATCTTATAAAAGGGTCCGAATCTTGAAGTGAAAGCAAATCTTTGCATGTATTCACACGTTTAGCTTTTTGTTGTGGTGTGAGATCGTGTGGCACCCAAACAGATGAGACATATTTCTTGCCAATTGCTTTTAAATGTCTTCGAATGGTTGAAGAATCAACACCCAATATCTCTCCTATCTCTTCACTCGAAAATCTTGGATTCATCTCAATTAGATCCCTCAATTCTTCGTTATCAACTTTAGATTGAAATCCGGGCCTTTCTTTGTCTTCAACATCAACGCCTTCTTCTTGCCATCTCTTCCACCAGCGTTGACATGTCCTCTCACTAACGGCTTTAGGATACGCTTGATTAATATTTATGGCGGCCACCGATGGATTAGTTCCGCGACGATATTCGTATTCCATCGCATGTCTTACTCGGAGGTCATGTGACGTTAAGTCGTGTAACGGATCCATCTTAATAAATATCACAATTATTTATTACCACAATTAAAGACTATTAATGAATGTGTTATTTTGTCAACAAAGCGATTTGTAAATATTGTTTGGGGTCATACACAAAGTATATAACTTTTTACTTTATTAGAGCCGACAGTTTCTATGCCCACTATCATTATTATTATTAATTATTATTATTATTATTTATTATTATTATTATTATTAATTATTATTATTATTATTAATTATTATTATTATTATTAATTATTATTATTATTATTAATTATTATTATTATTATTAATTATTATTATTATTATTTATTATTATTATTATTATTATTATTATTATTATTATTATTATTATTATTATTCAATTAAATCAGATAAATTTTGTATAAATTAATATAGTTAAAATTTTTCAACAAAAAATTATTATTACTAATTATAGAATAAAAACTATATTTAAAAAAAAAAATTTTTTTTACTTTTTTATATAAATAGAGTTGAAACAAATTAATTTATATAAAAAAACTTTTAGAAAAATATATTTATTTTTCTTATATAATAATTATTATTTTAGTCAGATTTACAATTTTAATTAATAGTTAGTTTACATAATATAAATTTTTCAAAAAAAAAATTATTTTGTTTATTTTTTTAGGTTTAGTTTTTTGTTTTTTATTGTAATATTTTTAATGATTATAATTATATGAATTAATTGAATAAACATTAAATTAATGAATTTAAATATTTATAAATATAAAATAATAATAATAATAATAATTTGATTTGATTTAAACAAATCTTATCATTAAAATAAACATAATTTTTTAAAAAACAAGTGACTAATTGGCTGATTATAATTAAAACAACAAAAAATTATTAACTAAAATATAAATACTAATCAATCAAATTGTATGCAAATATATTACACATAAACAGAAAAGTCAATCTATAAAAAAAAAGTTTAGTTAATAAATATATAATCTTAAAAAATATTTAGTTTTATCAAACAAAAAAAATCACAGAAACTCAAAAAATGATGATTTTAGCAAAATTTTATACCGTATTAATAATTAATATATTAATATTAGTAATTGTTTTTACAGTATATTATATTAATAATAATAACAACAACAACAGTAATAATAGTATTAATAATAATAATAATAATAACGATAATAATAATCAACAGTTACTATTGACACCATTAATCAAATCGGGTATTAGTGATGATATAGTAAAAGCCCGATCCATGAGTCGGGTGCTAACAGTCCCTAATGGACCCAATGTTGAATCGTATACCGGATTTATAACAGTCAACGACCGATACAATAGTAATATGTTTTTCTGGTTTATACCATGTTTTGTAAGTTTTTTTGGTATTATTAATGATTTTTTTAATTTTATTTTAAATTAATAAAAATTTATATTACTATAGAAAAATCCCGAATCGGCACCGGTATTAGTCTATCTAGAGGGTGGTCCCGGTTCGTCATCAATAGTATCGATGTTTGGTTGGGGCATATTTAAAGTAGACTATAAATTAAATGTAACATTGAACCCGTGGTCATGGAGTCATCAATTATTTTCTATTATATATGTGGATAATCCCGTCGGAACAGGATTTAGTTATACCAATGATAATAATAATACAGATAATGGCTATTCCAGAGACCAGTTAACTATTTCCGAGAATTTATATGAATTTCTCAGACAATTTTTCCTGGTTTTTCATGATTACCGTAAACGGGATTTATATTTAGGTGGGCTATCGTATGCTGGAAAATATATACCCGTATTTGGCCACTACTTAATACAAATGTCAAACATATCTAATCTGAATTTCAAGGGTATACTCGTTGGCAATGGTTTTATTGATCCAATCAATCAGTTAGCCTATGATAAGACACTATTGAATTTGGGTTTAATCGATGAAAATCAAGCCATTGAAGTCCAGACAAAACAAAATCAAATCAAACAATTGATTAAATCTATGGATCATTTGAAAGCATTAGATTTATTACAACACTTAAGTATATACAAAAAAATAGACATTTATAAATATATATTTTAGTATTTTATTAATATTTTTAAATTAAAACACAACAATTAACATATAAATATATAATTACTAGGGCTTTACCTGATTTAATTGATAGTTAAAACTAATTTAATAGTTTAGTAATAATATATATATAGCATGTAGCATGACTGTGTTAAGTGAAAATTTACTAAAAAATTATAAAAAGTGTAAAGGGTTAAAATTAATTCATGTAAATATTAATAGATTATTCAATAAATTTAGTGAATTTCAAATATATATTAGTGTATTAAAACCCGATATTATATGTCTAACCGAAACCTGGCTGACCAGTGATATCGATGACACATTCATACATATCAATGGATATACACTTTACCGGAAAGACAGACAAAATGGCAAACAAGGAGGTGGTGTAGCAGTCTATGTAAAATGTGAGAAATTGTCATCAAATCTGGTCCTATATGACACAGATCTTGAGTTTTTGGTGGTCAACGTCAAGCCACGTGTTGGCCGGCCATTCAATGTTGGGGTCATATATAGACCTCCAAATTGTGACACAAATTTTATGGAAAAATTTGAAAAAATTTTTAGTGACTTTGCATCAGAAACTGTTATTAGTGGAGATTTAAACATTGATTTAAATGATAAGAAAAACAAAAATTATATTAAAGTTTATGAAACGAAAAGTTATAAACAGCTAATTACAGAAAATACTAGATGTACTGTAAATACTAGTAAACTTATAGATCATATATATTATAATAATTTAAATAATTATAGTGGAAGTGGTGTATTGAACATTGATATAAGTGATCATAAATGGATATATTTCTCAAGAAAATTAAATTATTTGACTAAAAATACTAAAAAAGAAAAATGTATTAAAAGTTTTCGTGATTTTTCTAATATTAATAATATTAATTTTGAGAAATATTTAGACGATAACTTAACTACACTTTATAACAGTAATGATTATAATGTCAATACATTTGCAAATAAATTAACTAATACTATAAATAAGGCTTTTGATTTGTTTGCTCCTATTAAACAAAAAACTATAAAAAATTTTGAAAAAAGTTATATAAATAGTGAAATAAAACAAATAATTAAAGAGAAACAAAAAGTTTTCAATGATATCCATAAATATAATAATAATAATAATCACCAAAATTTTGAAATTTTAAAATACAATTATAAAATTTTAAAAAATAAGTGCAACAATGCTATCAAAAATGCTAAAAAAACTATGAAAAAGCTATGATTTAATAAATAAAAATAAAACCAATAGTAATAAATTGTGGAAAATCATAAATAAAGTAATAGGAAATAATAAAAAAGTAAATAAAATAAGTGATAAATTAAATGCTAAGCTATTAAATGAAAATTTTATAAATTCAATTTATAGTTTAACAAATAAATTTAATGACGAAAACAATGAATTAATAGTGTCTAATGATACCAATAATAATAATAATAATTTATTAAAAATTAAACCTATTAATTGTGATGATATGTCAGTTTTAATAAATAAAATAAACGTTAAAAAATCTACAGGTAGTGATAAAATTAGTGGGAAAATGATAAAATTGTGTTCACGGGTAATATCACCACATTTAGTAACAATGTTTAATATGATAATAAAATATAACATTTTTCCAGATATATGGAAATGTGCAGATATTTATCCTATATTTAAAAGCGGATCTATTGATGATCCAAATAATTATAGACCTGTTTCTGTTTTACCGATTTTAAGTAAAATTTTTGAAAAATATATTATTAAACAAATTAAAAGTTTTTTATTAAGTAATAATATATTATCAGAATCTCAATATGGTTTTCGTGAAACTCATTCAACTATTGATGCACTCATTGATATTACAAAAGATATTGTCAAACAACGAGATAATAATAAATACGTTTGTGTTTTAGCTTTAGATCTAAAGCGTGGTTTTGATTTAGTAAAACATGATATACTTTATGAAAAGTTAAATAATTTTGGTCTTAAAAATGTTTTACCTTTATTTCAATCCTTTTTATCAAACCGTAAACAACGTGTAAAATATAAAAAATTATTTAGTGAATATAATGATCTTGGTGATAGATCAATTGTCCAAGGTAGTGTATGTGGACCAGTGTTATTTCAAATTTTTATTAATGATATTTTTAAGTTAATAAATAATGGTAAAATTGTTGGGTTTGCTGATGACCTAACAATTATTTTCACTGATAAAACAATTGACAATTTAAATAATAAAGTGAATAACAGTTTTATTAAACTTCATAATTATTTTAATAACAATCAAATTATTTTAAATGTTTCAAAAACTTCATATATATTAATTGGATGTAGAGATAAAACATTAAATTTATTATATAATGGTAACCAAGTTTTACCTACAAATAAACTGAAAATATTGGGAATAACTTTTGACTCAAAACTTTCATATATACATCATATCAATAATGTTAACAAAAAACTATTAAAATATAAAAACATTTTTTATATTATAAGAAATTATATACCGATAAATGTATTAAAATTATTATATAATGTAATGATTATTCCTATAATAACTTATGGGTCAGTTTTATGGAGTTTTTCATATGAAAATCATATTAAACATATAAAAACTTTACAAAATATTTTTGCCAAAATTGTGACATTTTCTGATTATACAGTAAACTCTAAACAATTATTAAAACAATTAAAGTGGCTATCATTTGAAGATATTTGGAGAAAAGAAATATTTATTTATATTTATAAAAACATTAATGGATTCGGATGTATACAAAAATTTTTTACATATCAAACATCGAGAAATACCAGATCTATATCTAATAAATCTTTAATTTTGTCGACACCTAAATATAATTACACTCAAAATACTATATTTTTTAATGGTATTAAATTGTGGAATGAAATCGATTTAAAAATACGCGAAGCAAAAGATTTAAAGATTTTTAAAAAACTTTTATTATCCTATTTTAATATTTAGTTAAATTTTTTATAAACATTTTTTAAAAATTGTATTATATTTATATTTTTAATAATTATACTTATTTATTGTATAGTTACTTGTTTTTGTAGATTTAATATTTAATTTTAAAACAGTACTGTAAGAATACCAGTTGCATAACTGAATACAGTGCTGTCAAAATAAAATTGAATTGAATTGAATAATATTTATAATAATAATATTTATAATACTAATAATATTTATAATACTAATAATATTTAGAATACTAATAATATTTATAATACTAATAATATTTATAATACTAATAATATTTATAATACTAATAATATTTATAATACTAATAATATACTTATAATACTAATAATATTTATAATACTAATAATATACTTATAATACTAATAATATTTATAATACTAATAATATTTATAATACTAATAATATACTTATAATACTAATAATATTTATAATACTAATAATATTTATAATACTAATAATATTTATAATACTAATAATATTTATAATACTAATAATATTTATAATACTAATAATATTTATAATACTACTAATATTTTTAATTATAATAAGTAAAATTTATTTATTTTTTTAAGTGACATTATATATACCCATCAATTATCTAAGCAATATAACTGGTTATCAATTGTTTAACAATATTCAACAATCAAATGATTTGAATAGAAAAATGTTTATAAATATCAATAAATATTTGATACAACAATCGGTTAGGAAAGCCATACACGTTGGCAGTGATTTAGTCTATAATATGAGCAGTCGTCTAGTTTATCATAATTTATATGAAGATATTACCCGATCGGCTGAACCTAATTTGACGGCAATCATAGACAATGGTTATAAAGTATTGCTATTTACCGGTAATTTGGATATTATTGTTGGCGTCGAATCTACCAATGGATTGCTATTAAATAAAAGTAAAAAAAAACATCACAAAAAAATTATAAAGTTTTATTTATTTAATTATATTTTTCATCAAAAAAAATTAATTTTAATATTTTTTAATTAATTAATTATAATTTCAAAAATAGATTGGAAATATTATTTAGATTATAATAGTGCCAAACGTTGCATTTGGAAAGTCAAACCAAACGACCCGGAAATAGCCGGTTATTCGAAAAGTTTCGGTAATTTTCAACATATTATTGTACGTAATGCCGGCCACTATTCAATGCTTGATCAGCCCAGGGCTACACTAGATATGGCCAAACGGTTCATCAAATCGCTAACATTTGATTAAATTACTGTATAATATATTTTGAATATATATATATATATATATATATATATATATATAACTTTGGTTATACTGATAAATAATTTGATTAATACACAATAATTGAAAATAGAAAAATTAATTTTGTTTTTAAAAAATTTTGCTAAAAAAATATACTATTTATAATATATAGATTTTAAAATGATAAGTTTTAACTTGATACAATATACCTAAAATAATAATAAAAAAATATATAGTTATTTTTTATATATAGTATGTATATATGTTTACAATAATTAATAAAAATTTAATCTATTTTGTGGCTCAATTAGATTAGTTATAAATATTTTTATGTAAAAATACTATTTAATTTTATTTTTATTTTTACAGTTTATAATAATTAATTTGTAGTTTTTTTTTAAAAAAATCATATACTTTTAGTCATAACACTAAATTACTTCAAATTAAAAAAAATATATATTATAAACTTTTAATTTGTTTTTTGTTTATAATATAAAACACATTTAATTAGGTTTAACATTGTCCAGTAATAATCATTAATCAGAAATTAATCATTATTTTATTTTTATTTCACATTTTTAGTTTTATCATATCTTAATTTTTTCCAACTATATATTAATATATTAACATATAAATAGTCATATTATAATAATTATATATATATATATACAGTATATTTCACTTATCACTAATTAATTTACTAAACATTACTATTATTATCATTAATATATTGTATGTATTTTTTTTAATTATTATTATTATTATTTTTTATGTGTGTTTTATCAATAAAAATATGGCACAAAATGATTTTAAAAAATTAAATATTAGTATTTTATTGAATTTATTTTTACTACTAAATACTGTTGTTTCAAACTACCGGTGCTATGATCAGCCACAACAACAACCCACACATCACGCCCTCCTATGTCTGACACGTGTCTACCGATTGGACAGTTTTGTCCGATGCGGTCAACAAGTGGGCCATAAATGGCGTCTACAGGTCGTCGCCGATAATAATAATAATAATAATAATGATAATAACAATGATAACGACGAGGACAGTGATGTTAACCTAACTTTACATCAAAAATGTTGTTCAGTCTATGACTTGTGGTACAGTTGTATCGTACGACTGGCCAATCAGTACTGTACTGACCGACATTCTAGGGATGTCTGGGCTGTTATGAACCGTACCATTGAATTGGCCGACAATAATGAATGCATTCAATATAAATCATTAGCCGATAATTGTTTGTGAAAAAAAAGTTTAGTTAAAATAGTTTTTCAAATATTTTTAACTATTTATTAAAACTTTTAATACAATTAAACATAATTTTATAAAATATATTTTTCATATTCAATGTAATCATGTTTTTATAAATATAATCATTATTATTATTTAAAAAAATTATATTTTTAATATTATTATGTAATATTTATGTAAAATTAAATATTATATTTTTATATTTAATACTGGATTAAAATACATACAACTTAATCCTATTTTAAAAATAATAGTTTAGATTGAAATATAATAAAAACAATATATTTATTTTTAGACAGTTTTCTAATAATTACATTATATAAATATTTTTTTTTAATTTTCGATTAAAAAAACTATTATTAATATATAATAAAAAACAATTTAATAATTTTTACAGTTTAAATAAAATTCATAAATATTAATACATTAAATATATATATTATATGCCATCTATAAAATGGTAAATAAAATTTAAATTAATTAAAAACTAAACTAATATTTATATTTTACTTTATAATGTTATTTATTAATAAACATATGGATGTTTAATCGTTGAAATCATGTAAAAAATAATAATAATATTTAATTAAAATTTTTTAAAGTAAAAAAAATTCAATATATATATATTGATAGTAAGGGTAAACATATGGACATTTTATTTTATTTTTTATTTAAATGTGGCCATTATATTTATATATTACATGGCACAATTAATTAATTAAATTATTAATAATAATTAAAAAATAATAATAATAATGGCTATTTCTAGATTAAAAAAATTATTATTATTATTATGTTTGGCACTTATTGTTGGACATCTAACCCTAATTGATGCTAAAAGTAAATATACAATTAAATGTTTTTATTAAATTAATTAATTAATTAATTAATAATACTATATATGTTTTATATAATTGTATAAAAAACTTAAATATCTGTAAAAATAATATTTTTTTTATAACTATAACAAATCATTATCATAATAATAATAATAACAATAGTATTTAAATTAAATAGTTTATATACATTTAAAAAATAGTATTTATATTGCCTATTGTTTATTATATGATTTATATTGATTAACATATATTATAATACAGTAATTATAGTTAACTTATAGTTGGGGTTAGTTTATACACACATTTACATTACAGTACTATTGGATATCATTTATATATATATAAATTATATAATAAATAAGTAAATTATATAAAAAAAATTAAATAACACTTATAACTATATTTATATGATATTATTTTTTGTTTGTTTAATTAAATACATTTGATTGAAACCTCATTGATATATTATACTATACATATAGATAATGCTAAAAAAGATGCCACCGATAGTGATGCCGGTGCCGGTACCGGTGCCAGTGATGGTAAAGGTGTATCCAAGGAGGACCTGAAAAAACTAGCCGACGAAACAGCTAAAGTATTGCAACAAAAATATGAAAAAGCAAAACAAAACAAAAAACCATTGGACGGACAAAAAGGTAAAGTTATGGAAGTAGTGGTGGAAACCATACGTGAAATGAATCCGATTAGACTACTAGCCAGGGTAGACCCCGAAGCCCTGTTGGTTGCCCAAGGGTTTAGTATTGAAAAAATCAAACCACCGACCAGTTATTTTTCGAAATTATTTTGGCAAAAAATGTCCGCAAAAACTCGACTATCAAATGAGGAACTGTCGAAAAAATTGGGCGTCAATATTGATGGTCAAACCGATAAGGATTTAGTATCGTTGGGTAAACTGTTTCAAATCGGTAAGACCCGTGACCTGCGTCTGGGCGACTATTTTGCATTTTTAGGACTCAAATTGGATTCATATGAGAAAAAATATGATACACTTATGATTGAGGTATTTGATTGACTGACTACTGAATATTATTATTTATTTTTTTATTTAAAAAAAATTAAATTAAAATTAATTAATTTACTAATAATTGTTATTTTTTAGTTATAATATTATTTTATTTTCTATTAATTTTATATATATATATATTTATTATAAATTTATTAATAATTATTATTATTAGTTCTAGTAATATATAAAAATAACAACAAAAAACTTAAAATTAAATAATTTTTGTTTTAAAATCTAATTATTTTACTAACAATTGTTATTTTTAGGTATGATATTATTATTTTTCTATTAATAATATAAATATATTATAAATTATTATTATTAGTTTTAGTAATATTTTTTTTTAAAAAAATTAGTTTAATTTAGTTAACATAACAACAAGTTAAATATAATATTTTAATAACTACAATAATAATTATTTATATTAGAAACAATTTAAAAATATTTTCAATCAATCAAAAAAAAAATAAAAATAATGTTTTCATTGATTAACTAAAACAAACAAAAAAAACTGTAAATTATTAGTTTAATCTAATTATTTTTTTTATGATTTTATTATTTAATAGATATTTTAGTCAATCCACCTTATAATTTTAATTAATTAATTAATTAATTAATTTTATTTATTTTAATATTTATAAATAATAATAATTATTTTTTTTGTGTTTAAAACCCCAGACATTACAAGTGCCGGTTGCCTTTATCGATGATATTGTTGAGGAAGGTTTCGGCAAATATCTGGATGATCTGAAAAAATACATAACCAAACATGGAGGTGCCCTAAACTCGGCACTGTACGCTTTTACCCAGCTAACTGGCCGCGATGTTGTCAAACTAATGAAAGATGGTATTGTATATTTATTATATATATATACAGTATATATATATATATATATATATATTAAAACACAATAATAAATATATATATATATTAAAACACAATAATAACAATATATATATTAAAACACAATAATAATATATTTATTAAAACACAATAATAAATATATTTATATTAAAACCATAATAATAAATATATATATATATTAAAACAATAATATATATATATATTAAAACAATAATAATAAATATATATATATATATATTAAAACAATAATAATAAATATATATATACTAAAACAATAATATAGATAAATATTGTATAGATATATGTATATATATATATACTGTATAATACATGTACTCTTAGTATTTTCTATAAGTTGTATATACTGTATATATATATATATATATAAATTATTAATATTTTTTGTTTTGTTTATTTGTTGGTTTTGGTTTAACAATACAGCCATACATACTGTTAAACATTATAAGCCGAGTACTAATACTAGTAGCGATATGTCCAGACAATTGGATATATATAAAAAAGAGGGCGAAAAACAGGTTAGACTGTATTATATAAAGGCAATGGGCAAGGGTGGCCTAGTCTACCAGTATACTACGTAAGTTATTATTATTATTATTATTATTATTATTATTATTTTAAATTTTAAATAAATATTTATTTTTTTTGATTTTTTTTATTATAGAAAATTTTATAAAACAGTTAAAGCAATCAGAAAATTTATTCACCATATAATCAATAGGGATAAGGTTTTAGAGTTTATTGATCTAATTGGACACGCTTTAGGTTTGTATAATTTTTTAGAATTTTTAGAATTTTTAGAATTTTTAGAATTTTTAGAATTTTTAGAATTTTTAGAATTTTTAGAATTTTTAGAATTTTTAGAATTTTTAGAATTTTTAGAATTTTTAGAATTTTTAGAATTTTTAGAATTTTTAGAATTTTTAGAATTTTTAGAATTTTAATCTAAATTTAAAAAAAAAATAATACTTAAATTTTTTTTAGTATCTATAAAACAATTATTCTAATATTTACTACAATAAGTAAATATTTATTTTGTTGTTTGTTTTAAATAGTATTTGTTATGTAATTATGGATTAATTATATTAAGTTAATTAGTTTTTTTTTAAATAATAAATTATTTTTATTTCATTACAAAACTAATAATTTCTAAATAAATATAAGTTATACTAATATTTATTTATTTGATTTATTTATTTGATAATATAATGAAATAAGTTTCATCAACAAAAAAAATAATAATTCAACAAAAAATATGAAAAATTATTTAACTAATTAACTTAATTAAAACAAATAATACTAATAATAATAATACAAATTGTATAATAAATTTTTAAAAATAACTTTTTTTTGTTGTAAAATTTTCCTAAAAATAATATTAATTATTTTATTATGTATTTTAAGGACCAACCGGCCGATCGCTTATGTATATCATCTATCAGCCGACGGCAACATTGATTCACCAGATATTCGGACCGATGCTATTGATACCGAAGCTGATGTTAGCCCCGGATCACCCTATTTGCGAAAAACTACTAGCATTGCCACCTGTAATAGTCCAGTCGACCGGCAATATGTTCAAACCGGTCCTAATGGTTGTCGAACCGTTGATTCGGTGGAAATATTTTCTGATTACCGGTCACTACCAGAAAGCCCTGTCGTTGGGCTTGGATTTGGCCGCCGCTTACGGTATCAACATATGGGGCGGTGCCTACAAAGCCAAACAAATAGGAGGTGCGCCGGACAACGATAAAAGTAAGTAAACAATTAGCAAATAAAAAATATTTAAATTAATTTAACATTTAGTAAACATTTTATTGAAAACTATAATTTATATTTAAAAAAAAATATTTTTAGCAACTTAAATATTTAGAGAGAAATTTCAAATAATTTTATTTTTGGTTTTATATTTTTATGTTACTAAATAATATTTTTAATAAATTATTTTATATATTTTACAAAAAATTTCAAATATTTAAATTAATTTTATTATTAATTTTTTTGAAAAATATTGATAAATTAATTTTAATATATTAATTTTTTGAAAAATATTGATAAATTAATTTAGTAAAAAATATTATTTAGTAACATAAAAATATAAAACCAAAAAAAAAATAATATTTGAAACTTCTCTCTAAATATTTAATTTGCTAAAAATATTTTATATATAAATTATAGTTTTCAATAAAATGTTTACAGTCACAAAAATATATACTATATAAAATATACAGTATTATTAATACAATATAAAATTAATTATTAATTTATTAAAATTTATATTACTATAAAATAATACTACAAAAAATTCATTATTGAAAAAAAATAAATAATTATTATTATTATCAAAAAATATATAAATAATTAATTAACAGAATCGGCTAAACGATCCAAACGTGAAACGGAAATAATGGTACCGATTTGGGACCGTTATATTAAGGCCCGACACCCGAGAAATCGTGATTCAGATCAGAAACTAGCCCAGGACTACCAGGGTGGACCACCCGTTGGGGGCTATAAATTGGGTGCCAAACTAGACGACACCATATCAACAATGGAAGGCTCAGATATGATGACCAGATTGTTGGTAACACCGGATTTCCTGCTGAAAGCTGGCGGTCCTATCTATATGCCATTGGCTGCCGTATTGTCGCCATTGTTTCGGTCAATTAATTTGGTATTATTTCAAAAAGGTTTGTCAAATAGTTTTTTTGTTGGTTGTATTGATTGACAGATAGATAGCTTATTATTGTATTTGTATTATTTTGTTTTAAAAAATATTATATATATCTAAATAATTTTATTTTTATTATTTTTTTCATTAAATAATTTTTTGTTGTTGTTGTTACCCAGGTGATTTTGATAAACGTGTTGAACAGGTACCCGGTATTATTAGAGGGGTGGGCCTAATAGGACCCGTTGCCGATGTTGTCGAAGCCATGATACCTGTTATCAAAACTGCATATGCAATCAATAGAGGTATGTACAGTAACCCCCAACCACCCACCCACCCATCCACCTATACTATATTAATATTAATATTTATTAAATTATTATTTTTTAAATTATACAAACTATAATTTAAGCCATAATAATAATCATATATTGATAGTTATTAAAATAATTAATATTAATTAACATACAGTATAGTGATATCAATGATAATATTAAAAAATAATAATTTATATAACCAATAAAATAAATTTTGTTGTTGTTGTTATTGATGATGAAATTTATAGTTTAATTATTTTAATTAATTAAATTAGTTTGAATTAAATATGATTTTTTACTACATTAATAAAATTTATTTTTTAAAAAAGTTAATTATTTTAAATAATTAACCTAAACTTTTATTTATTAATTAGGATTAATTAATTGAATGAAAAAATAATTTTTCTATTCCACCAAAACTATCAAATTAAAATTTCATATTTTTTTTTAATTAAAAATAATTAGTAAAAAAATAATTACAGTTTAAATAAATGGTAAAAGTGTGCAACAAAACTAAATTAGAAAACAATTTGTAAAACTTTAATAATTATAATATTGTAAATGTAATTACATAAAATAGATTTTTTATATATTAATTTTAATTGTAAATAATTATAATTATTAATAATTTTTTTAAAATAAAATAATAATCTTGACTAATTAGTAATACATTTACTATAATTATTATAATTAATATTTAGCGGACTATTGATAATACTTATAACAATAATAATTAGATTATTTATTTAGTTTATTTTTTCTAAAAAATAAACTAAAATCAAAAAAAAAAATTATTGATTTAAAAAAAAAAATTTTTTTGTATTTTTTTTTAAAATAGGAAAATTACAATCAAGCGATATGTTTATGAAACTACCGATGCTTATCAAAACAATAACCAGTGGCGTACTGTTTGAAGTTGCAAAATATCCTAATAAAATGATCAAAGCTTGCTTGACATGGCTTGAAGGTAGTGGCGGACTATTGGCAATGTTACGGTTACAATTAAAACACGAGCAACCAAGTAATATTAAAGGACACGCGGCACGCGCCCATCAGGAAACACGGGTAACTAATTTATTATTATTATATACATGTATATATTGTATGTATATATTATTGTATTGTCGTATTTATATTGTATGTCGTATATTATTTATAGTATTTTATTAAAATTGTTTTTTTAATAATTAGAAAATATTTTATTAAATTAGTAAATTGTTAGTAATTATTATTTTTTTTTAATTTTTATTGACTGAAAATAGTTATCTAAAAACCTATTAACTATTATTAATTAATTATTAAAATTGACTAAAATTTAAAACATAGAGAAAAATGAGTTAATGAGATTAACTTATTTTTATTTATAAAAATTTATTTTTATTTATATATAAAAATTGCAAAATTATTAAATAAAGTAAATAAATAACACATAAAATAAATACTAAACATATATCTATAAAAACATTATATATATATCTATAAACAATATTTGTTTCAATTTTTAATTAAAAATTATCTTCATCAATGATTATTAATTTTTAAAATTACAATTATATTTAATTAATTAATTTTTTATAATTTAATTAATTTTAATTTATATATATATATGTAGAATATTCAGGAAAATTTCATATCCGATCAATTGGGCGAATTTATTGGGGGCTGGTATCTCAACTATGTCCAAGCCGTACAGGTTATCGGTTCCCTATACGGTGCCCTGTTTACCGGTATACTGGGTCATCTAGTGGATCCGGTAAAATATTTGGATACCGGGGTCATCCTGAAAGCCCAACCCATCAAACATATTGTCGAATCGTTCGACGATCTGTCACTGATGTTGAGGGCGGCCAACGATAGACAGGCACTGTTGACAACATTGTTGGCCGGACACGACCCGCACGTGTTCTACAGTGTCGGCATTAAGGCCGGTATGTATTGATTTCCCACCCCCCACCCCCGATGATGGGTTTGGATGGGTAGCACTTATAGTTAGTGTTTGGCAAAAAAAAGAGAAATTTATAAAATAATAGAGAAAATTCTAGAAAGTTTCTAAAAGAAATTTCTATCTATGGGTTAATTTTGTTATAAATTATAAATTAAAGTAAAAACAATTAATTTATTTAATTATCTTAAATTTATATATATATAATATATTTATTATTAAAATTTTACAAAATTGATTATTATTAAATTATTTTTTTTTTTTTAAATTATTTTATATATAGGTATCGCATTTTGTATAGTATAATGTTATTTGAATAGTATTACAGTCTAATTATTTATATATATATATATATTATTACAATAGCTATAGATATGGGGATCCTATAGTATAACTAATAAAAAAAAGTTAAATTTCTATAGAAATTTATTTCTGAGAAATTTTCTAGAAACTTTCTCAATGGTAAATTTTTTTTAGAAACTTTCTATTTGCCTATTTCTACTTATATATAACTTAATTAATTACTGTATGTTTGTATATATATATATATATGTAGAAAAATTGGCAGCACTGGGCGTACATCCAGGTTTGATGGCAGCCGGGGGTAAAAAACTACTGTGCCCCAATCAACGATCAAAACTTGATGGTAAAAGTGCCACGGATCTAGGCCTGGACGATACATATCTGGCCAAATTGGACTTGACCCATCAAAAATTTTTAGAGTAAAATTAAATTAAATTTTTATTTATTTTTTTTTATAAAAAAATCATTAACAAAATTATGCTATTTTTTTAATAATAGTAAATCGTTAGTAATTATTATTATTTTCAAAATTTTTTTTATTAATTTAAAATAGTTAAGCGAAACTTTAACTATTAGTAAAAAAATTAATTAATTATTTTTAAATTGTATTATTTTTTTAAAAATAATCATTTAATTTTAGTTTATAAAAACAACAAAATTACTCTATTTTTTACTAATAGTAAATCGTTAGTAATTATTATTATTTAAAAAAATTATTAATTGAAAATAGTTAATTAAAACTTAATCATTTTTTTTAAATTGTATATTTTTTTAATTAAATAACCATTTAATTTTTGGTTTTTAAAAACAAAACAAAATTACGCTAGCTAAATTATTGATTTAATAATTATTATTTATGTTTATTAATTAATTAATTAATTATTAAAGGACTGGCCTACTGGATGTCGATCCGGTCAAACTGGCCACACAAGGCATTGATTTTCATCATTTAGTCAATCTGGTTATGCGGGGATCGGTAGATGACTATACCAAACTGGTTAATACCGGTTTGGATATACCGGCAATGTTCAGGGCGGGTGTCAATCCGGCACTGTTGTTGGCCGGCGGTATCGGTGCACTACCGGCCGATCTATTGGCGAAACTAGGGGTGACTAACAAAGCTCAGCCTACCGACGATGATATCCGAAAATTGGGTATTAATCCATTGAAACTTCAAGGAAAAAGTATGTTTTTGGGAAGGGGTTGGAGGGTTGGGTGGGTTGGGTGTGGTATTTTATTTATATTAAAAATATATATATAGTATTTTTTAAGATAACAAAAATAGTTTTTTACAATAATTAAATAATTTATATGTTATATAATTTATTATAATATAATAAAATAATTATATATAATTAATTAATACTATATAATACTAATATATATATATATAATAATAAAAATAGATTTTATTGAAATAATATAGTTTTTAATATTTAGATTATAGTATTATTTATTACAAAAAATAACTAATTTGAAAAACACAAAAAAGTAATATTACTAATTGTTAAAAACAAAAAATAAAAACAAAATTATAGTTAATAATTGATTTACAGTATTATTATAGTTAGTTTGATTTATACTTTAAATTAATTAATTAATTAATTAATTAAAAATACATAAATATAATAATAAAAATCTACCAGAGGCTCCACGATTACAAATATAAATTATTTTATTCATTGATTTTATTCAAATAAAATAGTTTTATCATTTAGATTATAGTTTTATTTATTACAAAAAAAACTAATTTGAAAAACACAAAACAAAAGTAATATTACAAATTATTAAAAAAATTGTAAATTTTAAAATTAAAAACAAAATTATATTTAATAGTTTAGTTTTACAGTATTAGTATAGTTATTCAGATTTACTAAAAAAAATTAATTAAAAAATTATATAAAATAAAAATATATTAACTAAACTTTAACCACTAATGATAATTATTTTATCATTATTTAGTTTTGAAATAGTTTCAACATTTAGATTACAGTATATTTTTTACAAAAAAATACTAATTTTAAAAACACAAAATAAGTAATATAACTAATTATTATTAAGAAAAAAAATAAATTTTAAAATTAAAAAAAATTATATATTTATTATTACGATATTATTATTATTGTTTTACTAAAAAAATTAATTAATTAATTAATTTTAATTAGATATCGATACAAAAAAATTGATGCAATCGGGTATTGAAGAGTATGCAAAACGGGAACAGGATTTCGGTTTACGTATACAACAGTTGATAACATCAGTCTATACGGGTCTGGACTATATTAAACTATCGAAAGCGGGTATCGATCTGAAAAAAATGGTCAGCGCTGGCGTACCGACAAAATTGCTACTAATCGGTGGAATCAAAAGTAATACAAAAAAAAAATTATTATAAATAATAATAATATAAATTATTATTTATTATTTTTTAAAAATTATTTATCATTTTTTAAAAATTATTTATCATTTTTTAAAAATTATTTATTATTTTTTATAAATTATTTATTATTTTTTAAAAATTATTTATTATTTTTTATAAATTATTTATTATTTTTTATAAATTATTTATTATTTTTTATAAATTATTTATTATTTTTTATAAATTATTTATTATTTTTAAAAAATTATTTATTTATTTTTTCATAGAGCACTTGAAAGATGATATATCTCAGGCATCGCTTAGTAAAGTAGGCATTGATGTCAATAAACTGTTGGGCATCGGTATCAATGTTAATCTGGTTGCCGATGTCGGGGCACTGGTACTCAGTCCCTATAATTTAGGACGTATGGGTATCTGTCCCATGAGAGCAATGATGGTATACTCAAAAAAAATAAAAAACAACTAACCTATTGAAATTATTATGAATAATATAATTTTAAAAATTATTATTATGATTAATTTAATTTATAAAATTTTTATTATGATTAATATAATTTTTTAAAAAAATATTATGGATTAATATAATTTTAAAAATTATTATTAATATAATTTAAAATTATTATGATTAATATAATTTTAAAAATTATTATGATTAATATAATTTAAAATTATTATGATTAATATAATTTTAAAAATTATTATTATGATTAATATAATTTATAAAATTATGATTAATCATAATATAATTTATAAAATTATTATTATGATTAATATAATTTTATAAAATTATTATTATGATTAATATAATTTTAAAAATTAATTTTTTTCAACAACAACAAAAATTTATTTTAGGGTATGTTATCATTGAGCGGTTTGGACAGTATGTGCGGCGGACTGACCGATCCGGCCGGCATTGTATTCGGGTTTATATCTACTGTAACCAAACTAACCCAAACGTTTGCATCGAAAATACCTAATGCTAAACATGTACCATATGTGGGCAATGTATTGACGAAAAAATCCGGTAAATATAAGGGTTGGTTCGGGTTTGTATTGTATAAGATATTAAATGTCGACCATCATGGCGGCATATATGGACTATTGAAAAAAATGTTTGGCAATAGGATGACCAAACATGAAATGCTAGTCCTATTGGATCCGATTAGGATTGTATCGGTTAGTGGGAAAAAAATTATTAAAAAATAAAAAAAATTGTTAAAATATAAATTTTTTAATTAAAATCTTATTTTTGTTTATTAAATAAATATTTGATATTTAAATTAATGTTTTTTACAAAAATTATTTTTTTGTTTTGATTGTCCAGGAATTAGCCGATCCATTGGGCAAATCTAAAGTAAACCCTATTAAACATCATTCGCGTAAAAATCGGAAAAATAAATCTAAAAAATCGGATAAAAAACCGGATAACTAACCGCCCGTTACTACTGAGGATTCGTGAATTGATTTTTTAGGAGTTTTTTTTAGATTAAATATATTTATTATTTTATTTTTTATGGTTAAAACAATAACAATTGCAATTATTTGCTTTATTTAATTACTTGAATTTTTATTTTTATAAATAATTAAAAATCAAAAAATCAAAATGTTAGTAATTATTATTATTCTTGTTTAAATATATTAATGTTTTGATCTTATTGTTATTTTAATAATAAAAAAAATTAATTTATTTTTATTATATATTTATAAGTTTAATGAGTAAAAATTTTTTTCTAAAAATAATTATAACTTAAAAATAAAAAAAATCCAAATATTTTATTTTAATTATAAATAAATATTTAATGTAATTTATATTAAAAAAAAATTAATTACAATATATTACAGTTTCAAAAATTTATATAAAATGTTAAATTATATAATTAATAGTTAGTTATTAATTACTGGTTGATTTTAAGTAATCTAAATTAAAGACATTAATATATATATATATATATATATATATATATATATATATATATATATATATATATATATATATATATATATATATATAAATATTTATATTTTATAATATTAAAATTAAAAAAACAAATTATTATTATATTTATTATATTACATACACTAAAATAATAATTTTTATAATAATATAAACAATTTAGAATAAACTAAATATTAATTTTATAATATTAATTTTTAATTAATTATATCAGTTTTAGTTTAAGTTACAGTTATATAAATTTTTAGATTTTTAAAAATAACAATAAAATAAAACACAAACAAATTTAAATAATATTAATTATAAATTAGCCAATAAAAAATGGGAAAAATCTCTAAACTATTTAATAAAATTTATAAAAAAAAATACTTTCAAAATAATAAATATTTTGAAAAATTACAGTTTTTATTAAAATTATAAATTATTATAATTTTAACATTTATTGAGAATAGTGCAACAAAATAAAAATAAAAAATATTTGTATGTTATTTTTATTTATAAATATATCAATTGTATATTTAAGCAGTTATGTAAACAATATAATTAAATATTTAGTAATTAAATAAAAATTATATCCACACTAATATGAAAATTATGATTTTATAATTAAATGTTTATTTTAATTATATAATTATAAATTATTTATTTTTAAATCTAAACTAAACGTACATTATTTTCATTAATTAATCTAAATTATGACACTATTCCTACAAATATAATAAATTTTATTTATATTTGCAAAATAAATAGACAAAATTTAATAATATTTATACTATATATAAGTGTAATATTAGATTAAAAAATAGTAACTAATTTCAATTATATTAAAAAATATTTGTTTTTTGTTTTAAATTACCATGTAATTATTTTTTAAAAAATTGTAAGCTATGTAAATCTGAAAATATTATTCATTTGCCTAATATATCCAATTAAAATATAGACATATTTTATTATATGTAAGTATAATATTAGATTGAAAAAAAATAATAATTAATGTAATTTTTTTCTAAATTGTAAACTATTTAAATCTAAAACTATTTAATTAATTGAAATAAAAAAATATTAATTGTCCTTTAACCTAAATTATATACCTAAAATATTGATATATTTGAAAATAATAAGTAATTTAAATTAAATGACAGTTTTTTTTAAAAAATAATAATTTTGTGTTTGTTGTCCAATATTACTTAAAAATGAATATTGTTTTTAAAAGCATTGCTTTTAATTAATAATATTTTTTAAATTTATTAAAATTATTTAATTGCAATAAATTTTTTTTATATATACAGTATTTAATTAATGAAACAAATTTATCTAGAGTGTTTATTATACAAATTAAGTTTATAAACTAATTTAATCATTTCTATCCAAAATATATACTTTTAATATATATACAGTATATATATCAGTATTATGTGATATTAAGTTATATTGAATAAGTTTTTAAATTATTATCAGTTTATTATTTAATTTTTTTCAATATAACTTTAAAAAGTTTAAATAAATAAATAATTATCATCGAGGCTTCTATATTAAAATTAATTAATTTTATATATAAATAAAACATTTGAAACTAAATAACAATTTAAAAAGCATCAACTGAAAATAATTGTTTAATTTAAAATAATAAAGTTTATTAATTTTAGTTATTTAATGTTTATATTAACCATTAATTATATTGTTTAGACTGTTATTAAAATAATTTTATTAAAAAAAATATTATTTGCTTATACTTTGAGCTAATTTATTATTAAATTATATTTGTATTAATTAATAAAATAAGTTCAATATTTAAAAGTTACAGTTATGTAAATAACGATTTAATTTTTTTTATTGATTTAATAAATATTTATATAGTAATTAAATTATTTTAAAAACAATCTATTTATTTTCCAGTAATTGTTAGTAGATTAAGTTACAATTATATGATTAATAGATTTTTTAAAAATAATAATAAAATAAAACAAATTTTAATAATTTTAATTAATAAAATATACGGCTACGTAATTCGTCTAATTAATAAAATTTATAAAAAAGTTTCTTAATAATATTAATTTAATTTTTAGATAAATTACAGTTTTTATTTTAACTTATAAATTTATGTTAATTTTGATATCATTGATTGAAAATTATACAAAAAAAATTATAAAAAATTAGAAATATCTGTAAATTATTTTATTTATAAATAAAACAGCATATATTTAAGCAGTTATGTAAAAAAAATTTAAACATTTACTAATTAAATTTAATATTTAAAAAAATATATGTTTGAATTATAATTGAAATGTTGTTTTTAACTATATAATTATAAATTAATTATTTTTTTAAACTAAAATAAACTTATCTTTTTTTATCAATTAATCTAAATTATGACACTATTTCTACAAATATAATCATTTTTTTTCTATATTTGCAAATTAAATAAACAAAATTTTACAATATGTGTACTATAGATTGAAAAATAGTAATTAATGTTAAATTATTTTTAATTATAAACCTAAAGTAAATCTAAAAGTATTTATTTTATTTAATTAACTTAATGTATCTAATTTTAATTGATATTAATAAGTAAATAATTAAATAGATTAAGATAAATCTGTTTATCTTTATGCTATTATATACAGTTTGTTAATAGACTTAATTAATAATAATAATTAATTTAGATTAATTGACAGTTTTTAACAAAAAAAATAATTATGTGTTTACTGTAAATATTGCTTAAATTAGATATTTTTATAAACATTAGCTTTTAATTAATATTATATTTTTTTATTAATTAAAATTATTTAATTGCAATAAATTTTTTTATATAGATAGATTAAATTAATGAAACAAATTTATTTACTAGTATTTACTATAGAAATTAAGTTTATAAAATAAATTACTCAATTCTAACCTAAACCTAAACTTTTAATATATATATATATATATAAATTTTAAAATATAAGTTTAAAAAATCATTTATCAATAATCGATTAACAATGCATAAATGGAAATTACTAAATTAGCTAAAATAAATATTTTTAATAAAATTACAATAAACTAAAAAAAAGATATTATTTAGTAGAAATTAATTCTATCTAAAAAATAGATTTAAGTTAATATAAAAAACAAAAGTATATAAGAATAAAAATAAAATATATAATTAAAATAATAAATTTTTAAAAAAAACTGCTAATATATAATTTACATATTTTAAAATGTTTTTAAAACTATTTGCGCTTCTATACTAATTTATTATTAAATTATATTTATTTAATTAATCAAATTAGTTTACATTTAAAAGTTACAGTTATGCAAATAAAAAAATAATAATTTCAAGTAAAATAAAGTATTTAACTTAAATTTAAACGTTTTAATAGTAAATTATTTAACAAAAAAATGACAATCCACTTTTAACTTATTAGTAAATATTTAATCAAAATTTTTTTAATGAAAATAAATAATTGAAAATATGTTACAGTTTTTTTAAAAAAATAAATAATAACAACTTTAATTATTTGCTTATAATTCTATATTACTTTTTAAAATTTATACTAATAAATTATATATTAATTTTAATTAAATCAAATCAGTGTATATTGAGTTATAGTTTTATGCAAAATAAAGATAAAAAAACTCATATATAACATTAAATTTAAATGTTTTAATTAAAATTTTTGAACAAAATAAAAGTATTTCTACAATTACTTTTTAATTAATCTTTAATTAAGATTTTTAATCAAAATAAGTTATTGTATAAACGTTACAGTTTATTTATAATATCATATACTAAATGTATTATAAGATAATATGTTAAAAATTGTAAACTTTTTTTTAAAAAAATAAATATTTAATTTAATATATAAAATCAGATATAAGTTATTAGATTGTTTAAAATATCGTTTAAAATATTTTTTTTTGTTTTATTGATTGATTTTAGCAGTAATATATACTGTAAATATTGCTTAAATTTGACTACTGTTTTTAGCATTGTTTTTAATTAATAACTTTTTTTTGTTTATTAAAATTAAAAAAAAAATTATTTATTCAATAGATTATTTATTATATTTAATTATTTATTATTATTAGTTAGTATTTAATTTTTATAGTTAGCTTAATCATCTAATTCATTTGTTATTAATAAAATAAATATTTAAAAAAAAAATATAGACCCTTTGACCTTCTACCTAAATTATGAAGTAAAAATATAGACATATTTGATAATAATTATTAATTTAGATTAAATGACAGTTTTTTTTTGAAAAAATAGTAATTTTACAACAGTTATAAATGGTATCACTTATAATATTTACAAGTTTACAAAATAAATTTATATTTCATATAGATATAATTAGATATATAAGATAGATATAAAATTTTCAATTGTTATATTTAATAATTAATTATCAGTTTATTTATCTATAATTGATTAAAAAATTCATAAATGACTATTTATCATGTAATCTATATTGAAATTTGAATTAATAAATTTTATATATAAATAAAATATTTGTTTAATAGTATTACTAAAATATAATTATAAATTTTATTAATGTTATAAAAAATCAT